TTACAAAGGTAAAAAATTGCTGGGTGGTATCAATCTAACAAAGTACTGTTAAGTTAAAAGTGATATCCATCAGGCCATCCCTACCTGGTGTTTCTAAGCCCAAGGGTTCCAAAATTTCCCCAAAAATTTTTTTTTTTTATAATGGGGCGATGGCCTTTTTGGAAACCCCCCCCCCCCCCCCCAATCTTCTTAGCTGGTCCACTTGGTGGTCGCTAAACCGGCCGCCGCCATTTTCCATTGCTGCATTCAAGACAAAACCCTGGCAAAACCCTGTTAAAGGCAAAAAGTTGCATTAGAACTCTTCACTCATGGAACAAACTATACTTCAATGGATGCAGATTGTTTGCTGACTGCAAAAATTAGAAAATCCTCAAAATGGAATTTCAACTGTGATCTGTTTGAATAGAGGTATCATCCGGAATAAGCCATTCACATCTATCAATGTCACATTTCTCTGTCTTCCAGGTTAATGATTTTGGAATAATTAAGGGCACACAATTTTGTCGATCTGTGTGTCAGCTATGGCAATTGGAATTCATCCTTTGAGATTATCACATTGACATATCAGCATAGGGACATAGCACCCTGTATTGTACAGAAGCTGCTCTATGCTATTCTTTAATGGATGTTACGGCAGCCTACTTACCGATCTATATGATCGGTGTGACACTTCTCGTGGATTAAATCCAACGCTGCTGATGCTTGAAATGACTGTTCTTGATAGCTGGTTTGTGGTGATGGCCATTGTGTTCTGAAATTAGTAGAGCCTTGTTTAAGTTTATTTTAAAATGCCAATATTTTTTTCCTGTAGAGTTTGATTGTAATCCATAACACTTAAGTCTTACCTTATACGAGCTGACATATACACCAGGTGATCCCCAGCCATTTTGGTTTGCCATGACCTTTTTTTCTGGCTATACTCCCACGATCTTGACATCAGTCTTTTGTTTTCACAGATGCCTACCACATGTGAGCCATTGCAAGATGGTTACAGAAATATTTAGCATAATGGTGATGTGGTTTGTCAGTGATTTGCTGTCTCCAATCACAGTGATGCCAATTCACCTGCATGCAAGTAAAAAAAAAACATACCATGCTGCTACACACCTTTAAGGTTTGTGTGGACGTGTCCACCTGTGCAAACAATGGCCAATTTTTTGGCGTCCTCTTTGTACATGAAGTTTTTAGTCCTCCACGCATCGGCTGAATTTTCTTTGAAGGCTCCACGTCTTGCAATATGAAGAAAGCCGAGGGTCACGGGGCAGTAGGGGCTGCCTGGTTTCTTAGGAGTCACAACAAAAACGCGTGTGTAGAGAAAATCATATGTCCATGTGACAGAACACAACTATCATTTTTTTATGACAGAATCAGCAATTTGATTATAAATGTGCATCTTTTGACCTATGAATGCATGGGAGAAGTTTGGAGAGCACAAGAGAAGCGTAACAGATGATTGTATTGTGTCTTTCTTATCTTAGGCGCGCCAAGGCATGTTTTTCGATACAAGACAGTTTGGAAAGAATGTTAGCAGTTGTGACATTCAGAATGTCATGAAAGGGGCCCCGATACATGTCTTACTATCCTAACCGTGAGTGGTTTATTTTAATAATGTTATAGCACATTACTTTGAAGGAATTCTTACTTGTGACTTGTTGCTCGCTTGTGGTTTTTCGTACGAGAATGTGATACACATTGTAACCTCCAGAGTCGGATCGGATCTAGGAATTAGTTCATAAATTGTAGTTAATAAACAATGTAACAGTCGGTCAGGACATTGCTATGCTGTCAAGTTCCCATGGTTTACATTCCTGGAATAGACATGGAGCCTAGGCATTCAAAAGAACCTTCTCATATTTTCTTATGCAAAAAAACACCCAATCAAGATGTAAACTTTCCAATCAACCTATTGTCAGGTACTCGGTAGAATACAGCACTTCTCAGTAGACTGTTATCTTCATTTTTATACTTGCTGGAAAAAAAGGGAAGGAACACACCTAAATTCCACATCTTTGATGGTTAATCCCGCCCCAGCAGGATACGAGCCGAGGCCCAGTTCTTGTCGGAGTTCTTCAATTTCTTCCCGTACGTATGTCTCTGCCAAACTCGTTGGCCTTGCAGCACAGCTTGCTGACAAGCAGTGAAGGAATGATACTACAACAATGAAAACAGTATTATAATAAGTGTCTTGTACCAATTTCTTTGTAGTTCGTTCTGTTGTATAATACATTGTACTTAGTTGTAATGTTGCCTAAGACCGTGAGTGATGTTTTTCATACGTTTAGGGTGGTTTAGGAGATGAATCTGTGTTCTGAAATGTAATCAACTGGGAATTTAGTTACGTCATCTCAAAACATTCATTTGTAATGTCAGTGTTGGAATCACTTCATCTGAGCTGTTATTGTAATGAAGGGCCCTAACACTTAGTTACAGCTAATTTCAGGTGAGGCTACATGCCCCAAATTGGAAGGCTAAACAGGATATTATGTATTTTTGGTGAAATGTTACTATTTTTGAAAATCTGTCCAATGTCATTAACTTCGACATTGTATGGCCAACTATATGCACATCTTCTAGGAAAAATGGAATGTGATGTTGATTGTGAAACCATTCTACCTCATCAATTTGATTAGGCTAATAACTTTCTTGGGTTTTCGAGACAATGATGTAATGTCTTTGACCAGGGATGGAAGAGGATTGGTGGGGCATTTATATTGCTTAAAGGTTATGCATGTGGAAGCTTCACCCTGAAATCCAACCCCCTAACCCCTTTAAATCTATATATCATTAATTCTCCTTCTAGGTCTTTTTACAAACCAAACGGACAGAATTCCCTTCCCTTTCAAATACTGCAACTTGTGAAAGTCTCTCCCCTTTCAGATACCACATTGCTGTACAAACCTGCTCTTTTCAGGTAGGGCCATCATAGACTGGTCTCTCTTGGAGGGTCCCTGTTGGGTAGTATAGTTACCCACATACAGATCCCACGAATAATGTTATTCGTGAGTCTTGTATAGGTAAACCCAGCCCTGGCACATGATACAAAAAATTTCTTGATTTCCGTTTCCGAAAGTGGCAAGGTGACGGTCTTCCCTGGATATGCGTGGTTATGCCATGTCAAGAAAAGTCCGCGGGAGTCTACAATTGAATTTACCTAGAGAAGAAAACATTGTAGGTCATGGCAATACTTAGTGTGCAAGATCTGGATTTCTTATGTTTCTAAGGGAGCCGCAGTAGAACATGTGGGAGTGATGGCCTAAAAAATGCAACACTATTTTGCCATGTAGAGAAATGTTTTTTCCACTTCATAATGGCAAAGCGGTATGCCAGTGCCTGTAGTGTTATGTGCCTTGATACCTAAACATTATTTATCGGTAGAGCTTTCTCATCTGCCTTAGAAACTATCAATATAAAACATCACATTTTTGTTGAGATGATAGATTTTGATTAATGTTCATTTCTCATCATTCGCCTAGATATTGAACGGTTGTCATTCATTCCTCACAGGCACCAGAGGCGAGCGAGAAAGAAGAATTAAACAGCAAACAGTTTGCTGTCTGTTTAACTGAGTTTGCGAAATTTTTCGACCTTAGGTCATGGAGAAAGTGAAAAGGTCAATTTTAAAAGTGGAATAGAGTGCTTATGCACATTGGCAGTAAAAGGGACAGAGTTGAATCTGTGTCTGGGGTTATTTAAAACGAGGTTTTGTGCATCTTTGCCCCCTTTCTTTCTCACTGTCCACAATATGTAGCTAACTGACATACGTGTGCATAACTCCCTCCTTCAAAATCTCATACCGTTCCTGGGGCCAGACTCTCCAAACACATGTTATTCGCCCTGTCTTCATCGTCCTTGTTATCCTGTGTCTTTAAACTTTCATTGAAGTTTGACAACAATTTGCTACTTGTTTTTACTGACAATCTTACAAACACATCCCGTTCCGGGGCGCACCCTATGGATAAAAGACAAGGTTTTTCCCTTTTCTTTTGCAACATGTTTCAAGTGTTTGCCCTAACAGATAGGAAAATGAAAAGCGGTATGTTTATGTGGAATAATTTACACGCAGAGGGAAAACGCAGTAGGTAAACTGACGTGCAAGGCTTTCGCCTGTTGACGAACCTTCCGCCATTGCTGGAGGTATGCCGCAACTGCCGAAATTTTTCTTCAAGACAGGCTGTTATACCCACTTCTAAGCCCATTTTCCCGCCGTTTTGAATAGGCCATTAGCACTAAGACGTCATGTGACATTGTTTTATGAAAATGAAAGTTATGTGGTTTTTTCTTCAAAAAACGATTAGTGGGTCCTATTTTTAGCAAAATAATAGTGATTTGGTTTTTCAAACCTGCACCATTTTCTTAAAATGAGTGAGTTCGTAGCTGGTCACGTGACCAAAATGTGATTTTTAAAATTATGAATTACCTCTTTCTGAACACAAATTTTGCACTTAAACTTCAAGGAAAATGTTGAAAAGTTGATGCGGGAATGTTTACAGCACATCTGAGCGTAACTATCAAACGTTTAACAAGATCTAAGAAAAAGTAGTTTTGGCCGCCATGTTGGAGGGCAAGAGTATGCCCTCCAACATGGCGGCCAATACAAATGATACTACTTTGTTGAAAAGTCAAAGTGCCATAAAATATCTCCCTTAAATGCGTTTCCTCTCAAATTTCGAGTGTAAGATAATTTTTACGCGCTCTGTCAATTTTTGGCATCAGCAAGATTCCAACTCATTGTTTAAAGGAAGCATTGGTCACGTGACCTCTTAGTGCAAGTGGCCTATTACGCGGGCCGCGTGACTTGAGGTGCAGCTGCTTAAAGCCAGGGAAAATCTGAATGACCCTTCAGTTTGCCGTGTAACATTCTTAAGGTTAGGGCTATGTTAACCTTAACATTGTAGGTCATGGCAATGACATGTGTGCAAGATCTGTATTTCTAATGTTTCTAAGTGAGCCGCAGTAGAACACGCGGGAGTGATGAGTTAAAAAATGGAACATTTTGCTATCAAGAGAAATGTTTTTTTTTTTTTCACTTCATACTGGCAAAGCGGTATTCCATTGCCTGTAGTGTTATGTACTTTAATACTATGCATTACTTATCGATAGACCTTTTACATCTGTTGTCATAACCCATCGATATAAAACATGGCATTTTTGTTGAGATAATTTATTTTGATTAATTGGAGAAACTGATTTTAACTTTACTTTCGTTAGAGCGGTTTTTACTTGACTGTCGAAAGTAATTGAGGAATTGGTTTTGGTTTTGGTTTTACTACGCCCTTTGGTTGGCTGGTGTATTTACTTTGGTTTTGGTTTTACGACAGTCAAGTGAAAACCGCTCTAACAATCATGTTGTTCATTCTTATAACACAAGACGTTACAACGATCTTCGATTTCCCCTACCTCGAACTGGGGAAGACAAACATTTATCTAAAAAAAATAGTGATCTTTTATTAGGAAACTTTAATCACATAACTGTGGTTTACAGAAAAGTCCTAATAAAAAGCTACAATTGTAATACAAAAAAGCATTAATTAACTAAAAAAGCTGCTAAAAATGATACGCTTAAAATTCACAATGTCAGGTGTATTTCTGATGTCTTTGTCTAAATTATTCCCATCTGTCAGAAAGTGGTAACACACTCTCTGCTTACCCCAATTTTTGGTTGCAAGGAGATAGTCTAGATATGTCTATATTTCTTGTGTTATAATTATGAACGTCCCTGTTCGCTAGTTAAATCCCTTAATACACTTGTAAACATATATACAGCGATGATAAAATCTACGTTGTTCTAGGTTGAGCCACTTTCAAGTTACGAGTGCATCAGTAGTTGACGAATAAATCGGCCTGTTTAGGACAAATTCCGCGGCCTTGTTCTGCAAAACTGCAGGTCATTCAGAAGAGTCACATTGTTCTTGTCACCCCACACTAAATCAGCATAATCAAAAACTGGCAAAACAAGACTGTTATAGAAAAGTTGGCGAACGGTAAACGGTAAAAAATGCTTGATCCTACGTAAAAAGGCCGAGCCGTTTATTAACTTCAGAAATTATATACTCTACATGATCTTAGCTTGCGTAGCAGGCGTCGAAACGGGTGGGTAGGGCATAGGCGTACGGGCCGGGGGGGCGAGGGGGGCTGCAGCCCCCCCAAATTTTGGGCAACTCAGATTTTTTTTTGGCAGCGAGAGAAAATTTGGGCAAAGTCAGTTTTTAAAGACGTCTCCATGTTTATTTAATTTAATTATTTTGAAGACCTAAAGTCGGCGTAATAATCCAGTTACATTACAGTGGTTGCCTAGCATGTGATAAGTAATTTACATATTTGCAGTTTTTTTATTGTTGGGCACTATACCGCACTGCACTAGCTGGAATGGGCTATTTCCAGTCGTGAATTGCTTAAAATAAACTTTCGCATAACTTTCTAGAATGATCTCCACTCGAAGAACAGTGTATGGCAGATAGCATCAGCAATGGGTATGAAGATGAAGAAGTGGCTGACTACTGAATTTTGGGTTTGAATTAGTATAGCGAGAAGAATGTTAATTCTTTTAAAAAATCTATCGAGCGGTTCCATGAAATTATTCGCTAATTTGTCAAAGTAGACCGAAATGTCTACAAAACTGCTAACAAGAGTGCCTTGATGACTAATCAAATCCTTCTTTCGATTCTAGCAATCAAGCAGAGCTATCTCCACGATCTTTCACACATGTTTTTAAAAAGATTAATACTACTATGAGGTGAAAATGCATGTCAAAGGCGCTTCGTTTTGTACAGATAACGGCCAAACATCAAGATTTTCCTTTTCCTACCGTATTTCTAATAATGAAAACTTCATTCCAAAATATCTCGATAACGCTCTTAGGGTTTTGTTTAAACTTCACGAACATCAAGGCGACCGTATTGGAGAAAAATGCTCCTGTGAACGATTTTGTAAGGTTCCCCGTGCCGAGAATCATAGCTGAAGTATAATAGGTAATGGGGTCACTTCGTTGCTATGACAGCTCCAATGTCATTGCAACCCTGATGATGACAAATTTTCATCTTAATACAACTGACGTCGAAATTTTTCCAAATGTTTGTTTATGGCGACGTAGTTTATGCTCAGACTTGGTATTGACCCTGAAAAACTGTATCGAGCCACCTTCATATGCCAGGACGGCCTATGTTGTTGCAATATGGCCCTACCCCCCCCCCCCCCCCCCCCTGGCAAAAAATTTCCCGTACGCCTATGGGGTAGGGAGAGAGGGTAAGGGACGCCTGCTGTAAGAACCCTCTTTTGTTTATTTCTGGGGACGCTGGCGTCCGCAAATTCCTGATTGGCTGAGCCGTAATCAGTAACTTATTGGCGTGTATCCTGGCGTATATAATAGTGAGAGACAAAAATGATGCAGGCATCAAAGAAATGTGTCCTACTGGCTACTTTGGCAACCTCGTTCCCAGGGTATCTCATCTTCCCGCCCAAGCTCGCCAAGCTCGCTTGGGCGGGAAGATGAGAGGCCCTGGGAACGAGGTTGCTACTTTTGAAGATCAAAATTACTCCAGTCATGTATCAACTTCACGTTAAAACCCGAATTAGAACCAACTGTAATTGCTTGTTTAGCGGGCAGAGATGCTCAGGAGGTTTTGTATACTGGATTTTTCCAAACACCGAGCGGCGGTTTAAAAGCTGGTTTAAGGCGATTGCGATTCTTACCAGACATCTGCTAGGCCGATATTCAAAAGACCGTCTTTTCCGCAAAAACATATATACGTCTTGAATGAACTCCTAAATGGTTTGTAAAAAGAAAACTGAAGTTTTGGTAAAACTATCCGTTAAGCTTTCTAACAGTTGTTTATAATTCTCCTTTCATTATTCGGGTCTCAGGGTGTAGCCTCCCACGCAGACGTTCTTTCGGGTTCGTCACGCGTTCGTTCACGCGTGACGAACCCCTAAGAACGTCTGCATGGGAGGCTACTCATGGTGGCAACTGTTTTGTTTTTGTCACCATTGTGGTCGATGAGGTAAGACAAAAGGTCTTGTGTATTCACACGAAACTGGTCATTGTTTAATTGTCGTAGACTGCGAGCATTAAAAAAAGAGAGACTGCTCGCAGTCTATGTTTTTCGTCAAGATCGATAGGCATATCGTACTTGATGCGCATGATAGCCAGTGAGGGTCAGTAAGCTGCTCGGGTTAGTGCCATCTGTAATTCAGGAAAGCCAAATCACCATCGTGCATTTCAAGTACGAACAGAGCGCACCTCGGGGACCGGGGGGCTTAAGCTTTTGCTCCGAGATACCTTGCAGCACACGACGAGTTTTGTAAAACGTTTCGTGTACGTACCCTGTATCACTATGTATGAATGTTCCGAATCAAACGGAAATATTGTTGTTATGACTAAACCTACCTGTTCTTTCATTCTCTCTTGGTATGAACACCCCTTCTCAAACCCTAGCTACGCACCTGCTGTAAGTCTATTTTCTGCGTGTTTTGTATACAATGTGGATTTCAGTATGAACACAAGCAAAAGCAGGAGGCCAATATTCAGCCATTTTGACCGTTTGTACTTGCTCTATAAAAATATATTATACGGTGAAGATGCATTCTATTTTTTTTCCGTTCTGTTTTTTCTGCGAGACCAAAGGAGGAAATCCTGAGCGAGCATGATAAGCCTAGTTTGTCCGCTTCGGTAACCAATCAGAACGCAGTATTCGTTTTATCTTGCCCATTTAAATTTCAAAGTTTACCTAGGCAAGAATTGGTATCGTTAACCCGCGATCAGGCGTTGTTGCTTTTCTTCTTTCCTTTGGAGAGGGGCAGGGGGGGAGGGAAAAAGTGTGAAAAATGTCTCACGAGAGACATGACAGCAAAACAGGTGAGGTCTATTGTCTATTCGGAGAGGACTATTCTACGATGGTTTCCATTTCAGAAGAGATATATACGGAAAAGTAGTTGTCTGCTAGTTAAAATTTACATGAGTTACTGTACATGTGTTGTGTTTAAGCTGGAAGGATTTGGCCAGCTCCTTAGTGACGGAAACAACAAACTGAAGAGATCAGTCAAATGCAGTGATAGAGCTGGCGTAAGCGCAGCAGAGTTAATGATAGAAACTGCTACAGGGCTATCACAGAAGCTTAATGCAGAGTTATCTGAGCTGAGAGAGAGGCAGAAAGGTGTCGAGTGTTAGAAACGGAAGCTAATTGAAAAAAGCTTGGGAGAAGTCCCGCTTCCTACAAAAAAGTCAAGATTGACTGCCTCGCTACCAACGTAGGCAGTAAAAATGAAGAAGAAATTCAACGTTAGGAACACTACTACAACAACCTAACAGCGGTGGTGATGAGGTAAACCGTGAAGACTGTAATTTACGGATGCTTTACCTGATCGGAAAGTATACGAGTGCATCCAGAATGGTGACTTCTGTTCACATTGGTTTTTAGTTGGCCTAGTTTCTGTAATTCTAAATGTTATTGTCAGTATTTCCATTTCTGGACTCACAGAAGTGTCAGGACTGAGTTTTGGACTCGAACTTGTTGATGTTGTAAACCATTGTTGAATTAAAAATAATTTAAGATCGCTATTGTTATTAATCTTGTAGGTAGAGGAGTTCATCGTTACTGAGATGATGTTATGATCCCAGAAAAAAAAAACGCTATTTTGACTTTCTAAAGTAAATAATGGACTCGCCTGAAAAAACAGACGACATTTCGCGACGCCACCAACGGCTACCTCGCGAAATGACGTCTGACCCGAGCGTAGAAATTGTATACTGATTGCGCGTCACTATCAAGATCTGGGTACTGATTCTGATTGGTTGTGCCGCGTGTGAAATTTGCTTCAACCAATCAGAAGAACTACCCAGACATGGGTAGTGAGGCGTCATCAGTATGGAATTTCTGCGCTCGTTTCTCAGACGTCATTTCGCGGGGAAACCGTTGGTGGAGTCGCGAAATGTCGTCTGTTTTTATTCAGACGAATGATGGACTTACTTTAAGTTTGAAAGATATCTTTGAAACCAAAAAGGAGTCTTTCTTTTGTTGGCCCTATAATCTTGGCAATGCAACATATTATGAATAAGTATATAACAAGAGACTATGTAAAATACAGAACCTTGCGTTGGGTCTGTAAGTTACCACTGGTCCTATATTTTTTCAGTTTTAGTGGGTTTGTCCTATATTTTCAGGCCACTAAGTCCTATATTCCTATATTTTTTGGACCCCTAAAGCGCTTCAAACCCTAAATTCCCGATCCTTGCCTCATGCTTGCCATCCCTAATCCGTACTAATCCAGTTTAATCCATGGGTTACCATTCCCATTCGCTGCTTCAATAATATTTCTTGCCTCATCATTCAAAATCGTTGTCACGCTGTCTGCGATTTCGTATGATTATGCGGGAGTTCGGTATGATTAGAAAGAGATTAGGTAGGTTATTTGCACGACGACGTCATTTTACTACTAGTACTACCAGAATCTTTCAGGGTTTTGCTTTCCTGTGAAAATTAGAGCTTTTGTTATTCAACCATTACTGGGCAAAAACGAAGTGGATTCTGGTCTAAGTAGTTAAAGTCAGTAGACTAGTAAAAGTCATGAAAAGTCGGTAGTCTTGGCAGTTAGTACGTAATCGTACAAATGGCCTTTTGGATGAGGTTTTTGTGACATCCGTAATGATCAAGGTTGAGGTAAAAGGTGACCGAGGTGACTTGATAGTAGTATGGTAGGGATGTTTTAATTCGTTTTTGTGCAGAGGAATACATAAACGCCGGCGACCTCATAGCCTTTTTGTCTTTTTCTCATTAATTAATTGCCGATAAGTCTCATTAAGATAAGGTCATCATGGTCATGATTACTCCGTATTTTATAGACAAAAGGCTATGACGTCATCGGCGTTAATGTCTTCCTCCGCAAATTTGCGAAGATTTGTTATGATTTGAAAGTCCCGAATGCTATTGGTACGATGACTACAAGATTTGCGCTATATGCAGTTTAGATCTCCGAGGAGAGAAATCACTTGGGAGAGGTCTTTGTTGATGACGCGTTTGTGTAGCGGTCACACAAAAGCGGCAAGAAATGGAAAATCACGTTTTATTCTCATAGCAAACCAAAAGACAAAAATAGTAAAGATAAAGTGGGGGTTGAAACAAAGACATTTGACTGAAAATTTGTGTGTATAGAGGCTATTGGGTTAGGCCATTTCCGAGTTGCTCCACGCCTCAGCTTCGAAGCGAGGCGATATGTGAAACCATTGCTACGAAAATGTGTTTTATGCTCACGCAAAAGAAACTCATTTTCACAAGGAAGGTTTTTTTCACTTGGCCTACAACAATGTACAATTTGCGCGCAAAGAGTCATCAAACCGGTACCAGGATCATTGCTTTCCTGCACAGGGGCGAATCTAGGGGGAGGGTGCAGGGGGTGCGCAAACCCCCTTGAGATGACCCGCAGCTTTCTAATACAACTTTGTGGTTTATTGGTGTTGAGGTAAATATGAGACGAGGTTGAAGAATTTCTGTTAAACGCCGTAAAAATGGTTGTTAAAATCGTTGTTCGTTAGAGGTGCACCCCCTCCTAAGTAAAATCTTGGATCCGCCCCTGTTGCAATGGTCAGCTGTAACTGTTTACTGATTTTAAATGACATCGAGGTTGGTGCGTACCCTTTCTGATCTTTAGGCCTTTAAAGAAGACCATACCCTGGGTGCCAGAGACTTTTCATGCGCGGTTTCCCATAAGAAATCCACAACAAAACGGTCTTATCGGTCCGCTCTATACTACTAATCATTCTTGAAAATATTGAAGAAAAGGGTCGATACCCAAGGAACCCGCTTTGTCCAAGAGACTTTTAGATAATGCCGCATCAAAGCAACACCGTAAAAAAAGCTTAACCAGGAGTAAACCGTGTGTTACACAATCGAAAGCCATGTACAGATTTACGAATAACCACTTTCTTATTATCTAGACCGACGCTCCAATCCTCTATTAGACACAGGAGTGTGCCCTCGCAACTATAATTATTGCAAGATACAGATGTATTTCCCTTCAGTTATATAAACATTTTAATAAACTTCAGAAACTTGTCTCGCACAAGTCATATCGAGTAGTACAGAACCAGAAGTAGATATCACAGTGCCCCTAACCACCTCCCCCATGCTGTTCCATACTGTATTGTCTTGCATGTTCCGCTTTTATCTCGTCAGGAAAACGCTACTAACAAGACAGACTTTGATTGAACTTTAAAAACTGCAATCAGATCAATAACAAGCAACGTCCAAAATCACTATTGTCATTTATATTCTTCATCGTATTTCTGTTCATATAATTATTACGTTCATTAACAGTTCTATAAATACCACTTACCGTTGATAATTTGTTAAATAAATTATAGAAAATTTCATTTTATGACTCATTAAATGCATAATTTTCTGCTTCGAAGTATCTTAAAGGCCACACAATATTTGTTAATAAATATCTGTACAACAGAACATAAATAATATATTTTCGTACTTACAAATAGGGCAAATTCAAAAATAAACTGAGGTACGTAATGAATAAATAAAGCAATTTATAAAATATTTTCATGAAGTGATTATACGAATATTCCATTTATTTATCACTTCATCTTCATATTTCCAGGATATATTACGCAACTTTTTGACCAGCTCCTAGTTACCTTGCTAGCTCACTTGGTTAGAGCGCCCGCTCACCGGTATCGCGGAGCCGGGTCAGGGTACGAATACCGGCAAGCTTGAATTTTTTTGGCTTTCTTTTCGCAACTGCACAAATTGAGTCTTTCACTGAAATGATCCTCTTTACAATTAGACAGACCTATTTCGATATTTTAAAATTCATACATGACTCTGACGGGTGGAGGAATAAAAAATGACTTCTTTCGTTTTATTTCCTCAAGCCTCGGTGCCAAGTCTGAATATTAACATACCGAAATTGGTCTATTGCGATATTACATAAATACCTCATCAATATCATTAAACAAATAAATATTTGTAGGTTTGTTTCAATAACAGAAGCCATCCAACCCACTCGTGAATTCTGACATAAAATGACTGACCCATTTTGGATGAATATTTCATTTTCAGCTGATTGAGTGAAACAAAGGTTTTGACGTTTCTGTCTTATTGCGCCACAGCAAAGGTCAAATAGATCTATTTTGGATTTATACAGTTCGCGCAAAAACTTCAAGATTATCTGTTATTGCAATTGGCATTACCCCATGGTTATCAAGCTGTATTCCTTAGGACAGCTTCTGTAGCTAAAAAAAGTTAAAGAAAGTTGATAGTATTACAAGGAGGAATAAGTTTTGGAATTGTTCAACGGACTGCTTGCGATAGAATACACCAACCTAATCTGTTGGTAAATAATAAATTCCATGAAGGAACATAAAATGACAAAAATTAAATTCTTACAAAATACAACTGGCGTGTTGATTTTGTGTACTACAACCAATTTAAAGATAATATGACTAACAAAAAATTAAAAATTAGCAATCACTATTTTGTCACGACGGGTATATTACACAGTGTATATGTATATTACACAATGTATACGCAAGTGTTCCAGTACTCTGGTAAATTGCTTGCAATTACAAAAAAAATGAGCAGATTATCAATGTTTAGAGCACAGGCCCTATTTTCGAGTATTTTGCTCACTGTATACTCGTTTTCTTAGAGGAGGCTAGCTTAAGCTTAAGGCCAGTCACTGTTGCAGGCTTTACTGCAATACCCTCCACTTTTTCTTTATAAACTTTCCTTTTTGTCTCTTCATAAATCTGTTTCGCAATTAACTGCTGTTCTTTTCTCCAGAACACAAGGAAATCAGAACTAAACCTTGCCCAGAGCTCAAAGAATTCTTGTGGTGGAACACATGAAGCAGAGGGTTTACCACTGAAGAACTGCCAAAGACAAATGTATCTGAGAAGTAAAAGGTGACTTGTTAGAATACTAGTAGATAATGCTTCTAAGGCTATGTTGACACTATACTGGAGAGCTTTAACCATACCAGATACGGTTTCTGTTCACACATAAGAACGGTGATTTTGATGTGATTCTTGAAACGGAGTAAAGTACTGATCTCTAAAGTGCAGAGTCACATACCTGACTCCAGACCATCCTAACATGCAGCTAACATGTAGCTAATTTAACATTATTGTTCTGTGCCAGGTAACATGCCGGGCGTTTTGTTTGTGTTTAACTCCCTACCTTTTCTTACATTCTTTTAGCACTTGATCCTGCTCTGCTATCTCTGCCCGACTCTGCTCCACAAATGAATTCATCACATCACTGAAAGGCTGCTGCAGATGCTCCTGACTTTCTTTCAACACCTTGGAGAGTTTTCTTTCACAGATATCAAGTTCTTCCTTCAAGTGCTTAATTTCACCTTCTATGTCTTCAAATGTCACTTGAGATGCTGCTTTTAGGTCAGCTGGTTCTGGCAGTGGAAACTTACAACTTACAGTTCCTGCATTCTACAGGAGAGAAGAAAGGACGAAGCTTGTGACCAAAAACACGTCATCGTAAATTTATTAAAAACTTATTGAGCCAGTACAATCTTGGTAGGAAAGTTCATGCAGTAGGCTCGTTTACTTGCCACTGTTCGGGAAATGCAAAGACCGGACCTGGGAGACAGTGGAAACTGAGCCTAGTCATGCAGTATCCCTTCTCATATAGAGCTCATCAGCTGCAGTGTATACAGTAGTTGACAACGAAAAAAGTTATCGCTGCATTTCAATTGCTATTTTAAAACTTGATGGAGTAAAATTGTGAGGGTCATGAGCTGAGCAGTATTTACACTACTGTGAAGTGATTTTTGTACTCCTTTAAGAACTAAAGTGTACTGTGCTATAAATCTGTAGTGTAATCTACTGTATTGCCTTGTATTGTATTGCATTACATGTACATTTCACTATGCCAATAACTTACCTTGTCAAACCTGTTAATATAGGTGGTGACAAGGTAATGCAATAGGTTGGATGAATTGTTTTTACATTTCACATCCTTAAGTTTGGGTAAAATATCCAGCTCAAAACCATCTGCTTGACCACGAGAAACATTTCCTCCATTCATGTAGTTTCCAAATGCAAGAACCAAGCCTAAAATACTGGTTACCTCTTTACTTGTCTTAAGCATCTGTTGGATAAAATCCATAATGTCACATTAAGCTTTTTTCAGAATTTTAACAATGTTGTAAGATAATAACTAATGCATCAATGAGTCCTAAGAGAGCCTTGTTATGGGCAGCAGAGCTAGCTCCTATTCCTCAACTTGTACCGATAACAAACAGGCCCCAGTTGTTTAAAAAGTGGATAACAATAACCACTGGATAAATCTCTATCTGGTGGATAGCGCAATTGGTTTCTCTAATATTTATCTGCTGGATAGTGCTAACTAACGCTTGAACAACCGGGGCCAGATCAGTAAAGTGTAGCCTCTGGTTAACAGCACTGCGCTAACAATGAAACCAGGGCCGTAGCCAGAGCTTCAGAACAAGACGAGGCAAGTTTCGAGTGCCAAAGGCGCAAGCTGCTAGGGGGTCTGGGGACATGCCCCCCCCCCCCCCCCCCCCCCACAACTTTAAAAAAAAAGGGCAGCAAAGAAGCTTTTAGCATTTTTTTTTTGGTTTTTTTTTTTTAACATAAAACATTTCGAGGGGGATGGTATACTATTTTTTTTTTTTTTTTTTTTTGTTTTCATGTTAAAGTGAGATAAAGAAAGGTGTCCGCTGGTTAAAAAGACCGCCGCAAAAAAAGAACCCCGGGCGCGGGCCAGGGTCACAAAAAAACCGGGGGAAAGTTTCGGGGCCAAAGGGGGAACGGGGTGGGGGGGGGGGGGGGAAGCCCCCCCCCCCCCCCCCCAGAAAATTTTGAAATAAAGAGGCTCAGAAATGCTCTTGTAAGCATTTTCTGTGGCATTTTTCTGCAGAAAAGTCAATCTTGGGCAAGTGTAGAACTTCACTTTTTTATTGCTTAGAGATACTGTTGCCAAGTTAACGACCATCTGCATTTTAAAGCATTCAAATGTTGTAGCACATATTATAACAATAAAATGAATCCACCAGAGTAGCCAACGTTTATAGATTTTATACTGTAAATAATTAGGAGAAGTCTTAGGTAACACTTTTTTTGAAGTTCGTTCTTAGATGATATACAGAATCACGCTCACTTATCAATTATCTGTTTCGATACACTCTTGCTTATGTTCTTCAACTTTGAGACAGCCATGTCATAATATTGCCATCTCTTATACTTGTAAGACTAAGAAGTCACTAACTCTAAACCCTAACCCTAACCCTAACCCTTTAAAAACAGAACTGCTGTCAATTTCCGTTAATTTATGAATGTACCCTAAAGCAAGCCCGTTCAGCCTCTTATTAGCCATACTTGTTCAGAACCAGGTTTTAAGCCTTCTCAGTGAGCTGAGGTTTCTTCAAAAAAAAAAAGGCCAAAATCAAGACGAGATTGATTGATCATGCTAGCTACGGCCCTGGAAACTCTGTAAGTTGCCTTGCCTTGAAGGATGATTGGTTGAGGAAGAAAAATTTCCCTTCCTCTCTAAGCCACAGCAACCTTATTGCCATCACAACCCACATCCACGGTAATTTGAATCAATTTGACATGAAGACAGCTTTGACATAGCCTAACTCAGACTGTAATTATTTAACTTGAGTTCAGTAATGAACATTCCATTAAAAATTCAGTTACCTCACAAATCAATCTGAAATTAGTGAGTTTCTGCCCCATTTCTGACAGTGAATCTGTTACTGTTGTTCTTAACATCATGCAAAACAGTCGTTCTTCATAGGAGCTGATTGTTGACAAGTCCTTGAAGAACTGTTCTGGTCTGTCAAGTACCGCATCACAATTTTTCTCACAGAAAGAAGAAATTGTACGAAGTTCCTCTTCTGTTGGCCTCTATAATAAAATAAGCAAAGAATTCTTATGAACCTTGATCCACTGGAATAGTATATAATATCCTCATACATAAGGAACTTCTTGGGAATGTTTTGAAACCAAAAGTTATGTGTTATCAGCTGTCCGGTAAGTGTAGTCCAGAATGGTACACTCATACTTCACCTACTTATGAAATAAGAGTCAACAAGTAGACCTTGGTTTTATTTCTACACTCATAAACACCACCAAAAAAAGTAATAAGCCAAACCGAATCCCTGTCCAAGAGGTGAATAAATGTTTTTTTTTTTAAAAAGCAGTTTGTCCCCAGTTTTCATTTTTGGTCTTTCCTTCATTTCATGTATTCTCCCAACATTTTTCCCAGCAGCAACAGGCCACGAATATCAATTTTAGCACTTTTTGGTCAATCATGGTCTGCCAAACCAGGAAAGGATGAATTGATAATATAAACCACAGACAAATCCAGGGCTTAGGTGACATACTACTGGTCTGGGAAGCTCAATTTCATTCATTTATCTACTTACATGTACGAACAGTTTCAACAGCCACAAATTAAGGCTTTGCTCATGGGCGACTAAAATCTGAAACAAGGAGCCTGCCCGGGCACCTAAAATGGCAATAGCCTCTATGCCTACGTCCAATGAAGGAATGACAGAAGTCCTTGCTCCTTTTGCACTTTTGAAAAGGTAAAACGTGTGTTCGTCGACAGTAGGTAAAAAAATTTCCACTCATAAAAGTAAACAAAAAAGCACTTTTGTGGAAATTCGAAACTCAATGGGCTCCTAGATTTGTGGCTAGGGCTCCTAACTTTCTATTTTTGGAGCCCAAAGGGCTCCCAAAATTTTTCTTAGGCAGCAGCATTGAAGCAATTCATTTCACAGGGGATATTTCTCGTTTCTTTCTTAGAAAATTATGCTAAGTTTAATTCATTTCAATTCATTTCATCACAAGAAATTGCCTGTTGCATTGACCAAAATAATGGCAAGTCCTCCAGATGATCACATTATGAAATGGGTTTTACTAGTCCCTGTTACTTACAATTTCAAAGAGTGAGCTCAACGTTTCTTGATCTAGAATAGATGTGTTAACATTATACAATGAATCTTTTATCTCATCCATTTCAACATGAAGACTTCTCAGGAATATTCCCACAGCCTGTGATCTCTTGTTGTCCAACAAATGGATAACTCTTTGTTTTCTTTTGTTTGAGGATGTGGAAGACAGAAGCTTCCCATCAGTTTTTCTCTCAACTTTTGCAAACATTTTGGCAAGGTCATTGACATTGATTTCTGGCTCTTCGAGTGATGCCCAGACAGTTGAGCTACACTTTTTTTCTCCATCACCCACTTGATTCAGTTGGATGCGTTTCCAAAACAGTGGTTTCATGGGAGATGCTAAATTTATCAACCAGAAAAAATGAAACAAACATAATTAAAAACAACTAGGTAATATGTGGACCAACAGCAAGATTAACAGTATGGCTGGGTAAGTTAGGTGTTTGTGATTCAACCTTTAGTGAGGGGAAAAGGATGATATGAGTAAAATATCATATAACTTTAATCATAACATTTGAATGAACTTTTTGTTGCCCTCTACCCACCAAGACTTCTTTTAAAATACTTTCACAACCTTCAGGGTTTTAGAAAAACGGGTAGAAAAGCAAAAACGGAAAGAAGGGGAGAAAGAAAGAATGAAGGTCAGGAATTGACAGAAAAGCGTCATAATTTTGTTCGAAAAACTATCTGAATACCAAAGCTTAATAAAGAGAGGAAAGTCCTCAACTTGTAAACAGGGAGTTCTTCGTGGCTAGATGAAGTCCTGGCAACAATTTTTTAAAACTACCTTAAAACAACATTTTTTGACAAAACCTTCCTAGGAAAAAGGGAGCTTTATTCTTATAGGGGCAGCCATCACCTCTAACCCTAATCTATCCACAGTAAAAAAGCCCACTTTCACTGAAAAGTTAATAATAGTAATAATAATAATAATAATAGTAATAATAATAATAATAATAATAAATTAATAAACAGGAAGCAGATCTAAATGTGAAAAATAATTAAATAAATTACTTAGTACCTGGAGCGATGGGTTTTTTCCTGCAGACTGATAGTTTTCTTGCCACAGAAAGCTTTGAAAATGTTGGTATAGGAGGGGGAGGTGGAGGGGGAACAGGAGGAAGAGAGCAGGCTGACACTCCTAAGGGTGGTGGTGGAGGTACATGCATGGGAGGAGGAGGTGGTGGAGGGGGAGGGGGAGGGGGAGTAGGAGAAACATCTGATGTAGGTTGCACAGGTGGTAAAACAGAAGAAACTTGATTCTTAGCATGGTTCTCAGTAGGGGTGGAAGTAACATGTGTGAGTGCAGGTTGTGATGGTGGACAAGGAAGTGGTGGTGGATGGTGCATGTAACTTGATAAAGAAGGGCTTGAGGGTGGTGTTCTGGTTACTGGCAGTCCAACACCAGGATACATTGTAGCACAGCTGCCAACAACTGACTGATTTCCTTGATCACACACAATAACAATGCATGAGACCTAAGAAAAAAGAATTAACATATAACTCACCTTCTGAACGTCAGATTTCACGTGACTTTTGATGACCTTTGCTGTAAACAAACCCCAAAAGTTTGGACATTCGTTCTCTGCCACATACTGTACTAAGTATGTGCTAAATGTTATATCCCTTTCACTGTTTGAAACTCGAACAGTTTAAGGTTCACAAATATCTAAGCAGAAGAATAAGTCGTAAGAACGATTTTAAGGCCAAGAGCATGGCAGAACTGAAGGAACAAGGAGTGCTTGTAGTGGAAATTCCCGCCTCAGCCGCTAAAATGGTTTTAACATTGGAACTAAACCTTGAAAGAAATAAAACTGGTGATGTGGGCAAATTTCATACATACATGATCATAGGTGTACGGGAAATTTTTTGCCAGGAGGGGCGGTAAACCATTTGCCCAAAAAAATCTCTCAAGTTGCCCAAATTTTTCCGAAAGAGTCGAAAAGAAATGAGGGCCATATTGCAACAACATAGGCCGTCCTGGCATATGAAGGTGGCTTCCCCCGCCTATTACCTATTTTACTTCAGCAATGATTCCCGGCACGGGAACCTTACAAAATCGTTCACAGGAGCTTTTTTCTCCAATACGGTCGTCTCGATGTTCGTGAAGTTTAAGCAAAACCTTGAGAGCATTATCGAGATATTTTGGAATGAAGTTTTTATTATTAGAAATACGGTAAGAACAGGAAAATCTTGATTTTTGGCCGTTATCTGTAGAAAACGAAGCGCTTTTGACCTGCAATTTCACCTCATAGTAGTTTTAATCTTTTTAACGACATGTGTGAAAGATCGTGGGGATAGCTCTGCTTGATTGCTAGAATCGAAAGAAGGATTTGATTAGTATGTATCGAGACACTCTTGTTAGCGGTTTTGTAAACATTTCGGTGTACTTTAACAAATTAGCGAATAATTTTAAACCGCTCGATAGATTTTTTAAAAGAATGAAAATTCTTCTCGTAATTCAAACTGAGAATTAGTCAGCCACTTCTTCATTTTCATACCCATTGCTAAATGCTATCTGCCATACTCTGTTCTTCAAGTAGAGATGATTCTAGAAAGTTATGCGAAAGTTTATTTTAATCAATTCACGACTGGAAATAGCCCATTCCAGTTAGTGCAGTGCAGTATAGTGCCCAACAAAAAAAACTGCAAATATGTAAATTACTCATCACATGCTAGGCAACCACTGTAATGTAACTGGATTATTACGCCAACTTCAGGTTAATATTCAGGTCTTTAAAATAATTAAATAAACATGGAGACCTCTTTAAAAACTGGCTTTGCCCAAATTTTCTCTCGCTGCCCAAAAAATCTGAGTTGCCCAAAATTTGGGGGGGGCTGCAGCCCCCTTCGCCCCCCCCCCCCGGCCCGTACGCCTATGTACATGATTCACATTTCAAAAATCATGATCGCACATGATCACCACTATTAATTACGCTGCCCAAAAAATCTGAGTTGCCCAAAATTTGGGGGGGGCTGCAGCCCCCTTCGCCCCCCCCCCCGGCCCGTACGCCTATGTACATGATTCACATTTCAAAAATCATGATCGCACATGATCACCACTATTAATTTTCAATCCATTTTCCCTAGATAGAGACCGTTTGGCCATTTGTTGTTTGACATTATACTTTTCAATTGTATATTACGGCAAACAGGGACTCGACACTTTTGATGACAGCAATATTGATGGTATTTGCTAAATGAAGTTGAATCGAGAGGATGTTCACATATCTGCAGGAGGCAGCGCACTATACTTCAGGCAACATAGGCATAAGATTACTTATATTTAAGTTTGTAAAAGGCAGTCAAGACGAAAATGTAAGCACACTGCAGTATCATGAATTATAAGTGTGTCTGCATCATTAGTTTCATTTTTAAGTTAAGTTAAGATCCACAGTGCAAAACCATTCTTTCAAATGAAGAGGAGATTTCCATGCACTTGTTGAAACTCCATGTTCCAGCAAATATTTTTTCTGTTTTACCACACTCGAGGCGGTTAAAGTCACTCCTGTTCTTCTGCTTTGACCTTTTGAACCTTAAACTATTCGATTTTCAAGCAGCAAAAGGGAAGGAAAATATATAAGTTAACGTGAACTTGAAATTCTGACTCTAAGTTCGGACAAGTACAGTATGTGGCAGAGAATAGATGTCTGAACTTTCAGGGTTTGTTTATAGAAAAGGTCACGTGAAACTACATGTGAAATCTCAGAAGCTCAGATGGTGAATTAACAAAATGATACCAAGAATACAACCAAGTATTGTCAGCAGCAGTCGAGATTAAAATACCAAGTTCACAAACTTTATGTATTCATTTTTTAACTTAAAAGACAAGAAGAGTGAGAAGAGGCATCTGTGTTTTGCCTTCACAAGTTCAAGTTCAAGTTTATTAAAAACACTTCGGATATATGCCATAATTAATCCTTGCCCGCAAAATAGCCAATAGCTAATCAAGCCGGGCAGGAAAGGTAAAAAAAGTTACAATAAATAGGGCTGAAACATAACAACAAGGTTAAACAGATACACGAACATCAACATATTAAATTAACAAGACAGAGCCTACATATATTTCAAATGGGTTAATGAAACAAGGTATGAAAGAAATTAACCTGAAAATTAAATGTTTACTTTTGAGTTGTTTGCTTTTCCAGACATAATTATAACATAATTTTAACCACATTCTACTCGCTCAAAGCGCACATCCAATCACTCAGAGCACACAAATTCAAATTCAAACTCCACCCTGATGACACAAGTTAATGTTTAAATAATAAATCTGGTAATCATAGAATTCTATACATAGATTTGCTTGAGTTTTTGTTTCTCCACAGAGGAAACTTTGTTCTTATTACAAGAACTGAATTACATGATAGATCTCAGCAAAATGACTAATATAATGTTAGCAAAGATGTTAGGGAAACAACTCATAAAATGACTTGAACAACTGACCTAACATTTTATTGAAACATTTAAGATGTTTGCGAAGCTTGTTGGCAGAATAACCAATATTATTTTAGATTGAGCCATCAGCTACTCCATTTCTAGGCTAAATTACTTAACTTTCAGGGTTGTCCCTTCCCCCTGTTTTTACCACTGACTTTCCAATGAAATGGAAAGGAAAATCGTATTTCAGTTTAATACTATGTTCAGAGCTTTTTTGAATGGTTATGTCTGAAAACAGCTGTGTGAAGCAACCACAACAGTATGAACCACAACACAAATAGCACTCGACCACTAGTCTTCAGATAGCCTGAGAAAGCAGCTGAAATATTGTGACGTCACCTCTGGTTTCCCTGCAAAAAGATATGTCACCACCCAGATCAGGGAGGTGCTTCTGATTGGTCGCGCCACAACAAAAATTTACAGCAACCAATCAGAAGCACTACCCAGATCTAGGAAGTGAAATAATCAGAGCTAGGAGAGAAAGGAAATTGAGAATCAACCTAGGTTAAAAGATTTTAACCGGAAGATATTAATTTTGACTTGTAACAGTGACATGTCACCTGTATAGAATTTCTGCACTTGTTTCTAAGACATCATTTTGCTGGGAGACCAGTGGTGGCGTCACGAAATGTTGGCTGTTTTCACATGCTACTCTTCAGTTGGTAATCAAAGAGAAAGGGGGAGCTGTATGCAGTGTAAAATAGAGCCAAAGTGTTTACCTGAGCTCCACAACTAGTACTGCCACCCTGCAGGGAGCAAAAGAAAGTGGCCATGCATTGTAGAGAGGTGGCCGTTTAATAGAGGATTACAAGCACTAAAAGCAAAAATGATCTCCTATATCTACTGCCACTCGTATAAAGCATTCGTATGAAGTCAGTTTCGATAATTCCGGATCTAACGTTTATTGTAAACGTTAGTCTTGCACTGAAGGCTGTTATCTAATGTTCCGAAGAGAGAAAATAGGACAGGGTGAACTTTACAAAAAGATTTAGGTTAATGGTGAGCTTATCAGCTTACCTGAATTTTCCAAAATTTACCGTTCCATTTTGTTCACAGTATCGAGAACATCCTTCTTTTCACGTCCCTTCCGCCTTCGTCCCTCCCCACCATTTTCCTGAAGCTATTCATTTAGAGCGGGGCATTCAAGTAAGCCAGCGGTTGCTTACAATATGAGGTAAGTATGTCGTGTTCCCTTACACACCACGAACGGTCCCCTTTATCCGCCCTAGTCCCCTGTACTGGACTCCCCGCTCGGTTACATGCACGGGCGGGGTACTTCCTTACGAGAGGCTAATGGGGATGTACCGCTGGATGGGGTCGCATTTTCCATAGAGTTACTAGAATGGGGTCTCACATTTTCGGCTTTTTTAGGGTAAGACAGTTTTTCACATTTACGGTTATCAAACGTACCAGAATGTTTGTACCGCAGATGAAAAGTAAAGTGTTCTTCGTTCAATGTAAAACATCAGGCAATTCATAAAAATAGAAAGTGACTAAGTTGGGATGGCGAAAATTACATATTTGCCCAAAAGTGACAGGGATGGGGTCTATAATTGGCCACAGAATGTGTAGCAGCTCTGAGAGGCTAGCGGCACATGCCAAACAAAAATTAACCCAAGTAGCCCCACCGGAGTTACATGTTGTTCACTGTTGTTCACTGCGTTCTCTGCAAGCTCGTAGGAAGTAAGGGTTTGTGATAATTTTAAAAACGCCTGAGTAATGCAAAGCCTACTGTCAAACAATATGCAAAGTCTGTCGGTTCAATTCAAGGTGCGTCGAAGCGCACCTTGACGTGAAATACAGTAATAATTTGTATTTTGTTCTCACGTGTTTTGGGTCGTTGGCTGGTTCCTCGTTTCAGTAACTACGGCTGAAAGTTTCAGTCTCCGATTGAATACCTGCAATCGGCGACAAAATTGTTGAGACATTGTACTTAAATAGGGTAATTTCGGAGAACAAAAGAATCCGCACCCCTCCCCTGTCCCCTCCATTCAAAGTTGGGGTGTTTGGTGTTTTCTACAGGTAGCTAGAACAAGGGCACAACATTGCACGGAGGGGATGGGGGAGGAAAGCTATATTTCCTCCTTTTGAAGTTAATAAAACGTAAAAAAGCCCAGTTTTGGGCGAAGTGTCTCAAATCATTTTGTCGCCGATTGTGACTTTGGAGTATATCCGTTCTTTTGCAGGATACGAGCACTATAGCTTTGTTTTTCTAAGGATTTCTGAAATGTCCTAATGGCACTCTGGAACTGTTTTGAAGGAAAAACTTGATGCACAATTAAGATTCTCCTGGGACAACAGGGAAGATTCCCCTGGGACAAGACTCTTTGTGAGCATCAACACTCAAGAAATAAAACAAATGGGACAACTTCTTTGGGACGAGGCTCTGAGCATCAACACTCGGGAACAGGAGAAACAAAATAACTGGGAAGATGCCCTTGGGATGAGGCTGTTTAACCCTTTCACTGCCAATAGTGGCCAAAAAGGCAAAATTGCACAAAAATATCCTAATTTCATTTTGTAAAATTTTGAAAACAAATAATACCATGTGAAAGTACAGGCAGAGAACTTTCATTTGAATGGTCACATCATAGGATTTCGTCCACGGACTCAAAAGTTAGAGCCACCTTACAAAACTCGTCTATTCACTCTGGCAGCGAAAGGGTTAAGAGCATAGGCACTCGCGAAACAATACACCTGGGAAGATTCCCTTTGAACAATGCTCTTTGTATTTCGGGTGAAACAAGAGCTGAAAAATGCGTCTGCTCCCCGCAGGCTATGTGAGCAAGGACACTGAGGAAATAATACAACTGGGTAATTTCCTTCTGAAAATTCTTTTTGGAAACATGGACACTCTAGTTTCTTTTTTTGAATGTAAAGGAACATGAACATAGTTAATTACTTTCTCTAATTAAGATACTTTCTAAAGCACAAACTCATACTAACATTTTTTCATTCTTTATCTCTATAGGTAACGATTGAGTGGAATCACTTCCTTGATTTCTAGCCTTTTCTCCTTTGTCTACCCTGATGTTATTTCAGAGCACACACCACATCGGACTTTGGATGCTTCAGGGTTGCTGGGTAAAATTTATTGATCATGGTTATTATTTTTCCACTTGCAGGGTTGAAGAGAAGACTTGCATTACTCCGATCAAAAATTAACAACGGAGGTGGTGGGAATCCTGGTTTCTTTTGCGATCTGATTTCTTGTGGAAACTCAGTCAGATGGAGTGTATAGCCGTTGAAATATATTTTGCGTCAGCCGGTGACACTCAAACCGTTATCACAAAAGACATCAGAGAACGGAGAAACATAGGGATACTACTCTAATTTGGAGTACCTATGACATTGGAGTTTGGATGCTTTGCGACTGCTAATTACACTTTATTGAATCATCATGATTATTATTTTTCTACTTCCAGGGTTAAAGAGAAGACTCACATTACTCCAATCAAAAATTAACAACGGAGGTGGTGGGAATCCTAGTTTTTTTTTGCAATCTAATTTCTTATGGAAACTCAATGGAGTGTATGGCCGTTGAAACGTATTTTGCGTCAAACGGTGACACTCAAACCGTTATCAAAAAAGACATCAGAGAACATAGAAACATAGGGATACCATTCTAATTCAGACTCTGTTCAAATTCACACTGATGATGGCAATGTAGAGAGGATAAGGCGCAACTCTAGTTTGGATGCTTTTCAAACGGGAAACACGTACTTTGCTTCAGACCAGAACCACTGCGGAAATGTGCCACCCCATTCTAGTAACTCTACTGAAAATGCGAGCCCGTTATAGTCAATCCAGTCGTGAAAATTCGACCCCATCCAGCAGCACATCCCCATTAGCCTCTTATAAGGAAGTACTCCCCCCAGGCTTCCTGGGTAGTAACATGCATGCTTTGTTAAGTACATAAGTGAAGATTAACCTCTAATATCAGAATACTTTCCCCAGTCTAACTGGCACCAAGACTGTGTGCTTAATTAGGGATGTAGGTCAAGATTGACCAGTGATAGCAGTTTGTTGTGAAAGCCAGAAAATACATAGGTTGTCACAGATTGTACACTAGTTACTTAATGTACTTTACAGGGATGGTTCTTGGCAAGTCTCCCAAAAATAAACTTATTTGCTTTAACAGCGTCTGTTGTTGTTAAGTAGTGGAGTCAATTTAAAATTACCATTATTTGACAGTATGAACTCTGTATATTACTTCAGAAAATTGACATTAAAAATGTTTTGAATTAGTGTATCTTTGTTTTTAACCACACATCTGTAAGTTTACGTAATCATGTCATGCCCTTTGACAAAGCAGTTTGAAATGGGGCATCAGTAAAACAGGAGATTTATTTCTTTTCTGTGTGTACACTAAGTTTGCCAAAGTTTTAGCAAACACCTGAACTAACTTTCAAACATTTACATAGCTAAAATATCATTCACCTCAGATACAAGGCAAAGAATTGTTTTAAATTGTACAAATGTGAAAAAAAAACATTAAACAAAGCTTACTGAGTCTACCAAAAATCAGTTACACCAGAGCCCCAAGGTTCATGATGTAACCAGATCTGAGCAATCCATTTTTCCTGATTGACTACTGGACATGATCCATGGATTGACCTTCGATTTAACCCTCCACCTTTTTCTTCAGTCAAGTGGTTAAAGAACACTAGGCAAGACCTTGCTTCTGGAACAACCTTCAAAACATTATCATTATGGCATATCTCTCTAAGTAAAGGTTTATCATTTGGAATTGATGTGGGATCAACATCAGATTCATTTATTGATCGTGGAAAGATTGTTTCACCACCATTAGAAACAGAGTTCAAGTACAGCAAAAATGTTGCAGCACGCTTCATTTTCTTTCCCGCCATCATAAATTCAGAATCAAAATGAAGTTCATAGTTTTGATTTTCTGAGTATTTTGTCAGAGAAACAGGCTCTGCTAAATCCCAAGGCAAGCCAGAAACGTTTCCAGCCAGCAGGGCTAGTTCCCTCAAAATCCACAAACTTGCGTCACTTTTGTTCCTCAGATAAAGTGATGTTGAGAAGCCACTATTTGCATCCTCTGTGAATTTACTCTCTGCTAAATTCAGTAATTTGAATTGGTGATATGTAGTTATGCAGTTCCTGAAAAACATTATTAATGGATTTTTCGCAAGAATAATGCACTTGGACATTCCATTTGATTTCTGACCTACAATTACAAACAGACAAAAATTATTATTACCAAGATGGTACTGGAAAGAACAGAAAAGTGGAGTCTAAGTATAAGCGTACCATTTGTTTTCTTAAAGCCATCATTGTCTTTTCAGACGTTGTGTCCATACTTGTTACCCCATTGTTAACTCTGGAAGTTATGTGCAAGGCTATTTAATGCATATTTTTTCCCCTGCACTTTCCACTGATTGTAGTTGTACTCAAATAAAATTCAAATGTTACCACACTTCTAACAATGTTTTCAGATGATGAAACCAACGTGTATTTAACAGCCATTTACCCATCCTGAGGAGGAGGATGACCAATTAATCCAGATTTAACTGTATGCATGAAAACAAGTGTGTGTGTGTTAACATTCAAAAACTCATTTATAATTCATAAAGAAAAAACAGAAGAACTTTATGTTTAATGAGTGTCTTTGTACTTTTCAGAGGGGTGGATCCAGGATTTTTCTTATGAGTGGGTGCACGTCTAAGGAACTACCACTTTTATGGTGTTTAACATAAATTCTACAACCTTGTCTCACGTATTACTTCAACACCAATAAACCACCAACTTTTCTTTTGCAGAACATCAGTTCTATTAGAAAGCCGCAGGCCATCTCAGGGGGAGCTTTACTCCATGCACCCTTCCCCTAGATCCGCCCCTGCTTTACATCTATTTTTTTAGACCATTAAAACCCCAGATCTAAATATTTATAGTGCAAGAAGAGTTGATCTAAATCACAGATTTTGAAGCCATTCAAAAAATGTTGATGGAGCTCATTTTATAAACAGTACTTGTTTTATACTTTTGATTTTGTAGCTTCAAATCTCTCCTCCACAGACAGGGTGTCTAATGGGGGTCCTGATCTTGCATTTCTGCTCCTTTTCCATGACAATCCCGCATCCCAAACTTGTGTCATCAAGAAATGAATACCCTCCCAGACCCTGCACAGAGGCTCCCACTGAAATCACAAAAAAAGATAAGCAGCCTCATTAAAATAAGGGCTGCAAATAACAGAAAACGTTGTCACTGGTGATGATTTGATGGTGGAATATTTTTTCTGTAATATAACGCCCCAACAGTAGAATCTTCACTTTGTCAAGAAAAAAGAAAATCTTCTTTTGCACAATTTATTTTCCTGCCTCTTTCCAACCTTCTAGTGGCGGCACAAAAAGGCCTCTGAAGAGAGGAAAGGCTTCAACTGTGCCGATCACTGTAAATGCAGATTTTAAACCTACCCATAATTAATAACCGTTACACATTGCTCATGAAATCTCGATGACAGTGAAGGGTATAACATTTTATACAATTTTGTTCATCTTGGGCTTGCCCTTCAAGCAAGCTCGCTGGGGGCAGGCGAGTAAAACAGGGGACATGAGGGGATCGAGCTCTCGATTTCTGCGCTCCCTGTCCCCTGTTACCATGTTTTCAAATCGAGTTACGGCTAAGGTAGGACAAGCATGCGATCTCAATGAGTCAATATAATGAACAATAAAACAGTAACGGTGTAAGGAATAAATGCATTTGTGGGCGTAAATTTTCTATACACGCATACAAAAGTTACCGTGATAAAAATTGGAACTGAAGTAGTAGAGCTACTAGAGGATAATATTATGTTCTGCCGATAAAACCTCGCTGTTTAAACCTCGTTTGCCTTACCCCGTGAAAATACTTCTCTGTATGATTGACTCATCCAAAGGCCTGAACATTCTCTTTCAGAAGAAACCAAAACGTGACACATGAAGAGGATGAACAATACAATCATTTCGCTTCTACATTCTACATCATATTGGCTCGGCAAAAATTCTCGATCTGCAAATCTATGAATCAAACTAGTTCCCAGACTCTTTTTTTTTGTCTCACACCTTTCATTGCACCTTTCCACCTTTCTTCATGACCCCTGGTATTTTCGCGATGTCTTGGTGGTCTTGGTTGACGGATATCTTTTGCTTTACGAGGTAATAAGTTGTCTCATGGCAAGAGCAATAAGTTAAGTTTCATATTTTGACATTCCACCGTTTATCGTGATTTCTTACACCATAGCGTGCACGGGTCACGTCACGGATCAAACATTTCAACCTTTATTCCTAGTTGTACGTGTACAGGATTTATTCTTGAAGGGCTGCGAAGTTTTTTCAGTTTGAAATTGACATTGCTAGGCTGATGCTGCAAAAACCTTTCGTCTTCAGAAAAGCCTTTTCGGTGGGATCTTTTAGCGCTGTTTTTTTTTTTTTTTTTTTTTCCACGAGCGACGTCAACCATTTTTGTTTTACTTGTGAGAAAAAATACGTCATACATAGAGAAGTAATACGCATCAGGAAACAAAACTTAAAATGCAAATTTCGTCTTTCGTTTTTTTAATTTTTTGAAAAAATAAAACCTTCACTTTACAATTTTTAAAAATTCTGCCGCCTTTTTTCTTTCTCCCGTTAAAAAATCCAACACTGTTTTTTTTTTTTTTTTTTTTTCCACGGGGGAGTCCAACCTTTTTTTTTTACTTTTGAGAAAAAAAACCGTCTAAAAAAAAAAATAAAACGCCATCGGAACCAAAAATTAAAAAGCAAATTTTGTTTTTTCTGTTTTTAATTTTTTGAAAAAATAAAAACCTTCCTTTGAAACCTTTTAAAATTTCAGCGCCTTTTTTTTTTTTTTCCTTAGTTTTCCGTTCCTTTGTTTTATTCTTACACCCCCCGGACGTCTTTTCGGTTTAAAATTAACATTTCTTGTTTTTTTTTTTTATATTTTTTTGTTTTTAGTATTGTTTTTTGGGTGGGTTTTTTTTGTGTTTTTTTTTTTTTTTTTTTTCTTCCACGAGCGACGTCAACCATTTTTGTTTGACTTGTGAGAAGAAATACGTCATACATAGAGAAGTAATACGCATCAGGAACCAATACTTAAAATGCAAATTTCGTCTTTCGTGTTTTGAATTTCTTGAAACAATAAACACTTCACTTGAGAACTTTTAAGAATTCGAGCGCCTTCTTTCATTCTTCCGTTCAAAGATCCCAACACAGTTGAATATGGAATCATCATCTACTTCAACTAAGATAAGCTCGTCACAAACGACAAGGCAAAAAGAAGACGTTTTTCCAATGGATTACTCCGTCGAGGAAACTTCTGTCGCTGCTGCCGCCTTGCTCATTATAATAATTTTATGTTTAATGGGAAATACTGTGATTTGCTACGTATTCTTTTGGAATAGACGAATGTGGACTGAGATGAACATGTTTTTGGTAAATCTTGCTATTGGAGACATCGCCATGAGTTTATTATCGATGACAACTCCATTGCAAACAGCTATCTCTGGGAAATGGAAATATGGTGTTGGACCTGTCTGTCAGGTCAACGCTTTCTTTAACTCGGTTTTATTCTGCAATACAGTATTTACTCACACTGCGATCTCAATAGACAGATTTTTTGCTGTGGTGAAACCAATGAGAAAGGTAATGACCAGGAAAAAAGCCTTGTCTACAATACTGGGGGTATGGGTACTATCGGTTGTTATATCACTAGGACCTCTGTTTGGCTGGGGCAAAAATGACTACAACGCATCCACTTTACAATGCGGATTTGACTTCCCAGAAAACTTGAAAGAAAACTTGTATATATTATGCCTTGCATTTGTCGCCTTTCTGTTACCCATCGTAATAATGAGTTATGTGTATGTGAGAATATATTTGGTCGTGCGACGTCATACAAAAAGATTATCGACAACAGTATTTGGCAATAGCCAGGAAGTTGCCATTAAAAAACAGCGGAGAACTGTCTTGACTTTTTTCCTTGCTTTGATGGTGTTTGTTATTTGCTGGACACCTTTTTTTGTGTTCATTGCAGTTGCTGTTTCAGTTCAGTCTCGTGATGAATTACCACATGGTTTAGGAATAGCGGCTTACTGGTGTGGTTTTTTAAACTCGGCTGTAAATCCTTACTTGATTGGTCTCAGAAGTGAAAAATTCCACGAAGCCTTTAAACGTTTATTTTGCTGTAATTTTAAGGCCGCAAGTCACGAGAATGAAGCAAGGTATTATTCAACTAATCAAACAGTCAATACTGGAACTGCAAAACATGTCATAAAAGAACAGATCACTTCGCATCGAAATGGCCATGATTCCTTGGACCATGTTAATTCCGCATTCGTAAACTTAAGCCTGTGCCATGATAATGATGAAACAGATTCCGCTCCTCTTCGACAACCATCAAAGGATGTTGTTATACAAAGATCAAGAAAACAAGGCCATCATAATGATGCAGTGGCTTATCCACATTTTATTCACATGGTTCATGGCAAATTGTGGAGCGAGGCTACTGTCTGATCTATCATGATTGTATACTTTGAGGAGTGCAATCTGGTTGACCCGCGTTAAGCCTGCAAGAGTGGAGTCTTGAGACATCACGTGCTGGACCACACCCTTTTCCGTATTGCCCGAGACCATTTGCTGATTACAATTGGCTCTTTACTTGGCCTAGCCTGCGTAGCAAGACTGGTTTCCACCCAAGTAATAGACTTGCCTACAAGTCGAGCTCAAAATTTGTTCACGAGCACGTAGCCCGAGCTGTAGATTTTTTTTTCTGCGGCAAAAGCGAGCAAGATAACGGAAACGACAAGCGAAGGACTTTGAGAGAGTCTACCCAAGTAACTGCAAAAGTTGGCCTAGAGGGGCTACAACGTTTTTGTCGAACTCTTGCGACCTGGCTCTTGCTGCGAAGGCAAGACTTGCCAAGTGATTTACCGTAGAACAGGTCATGACAGCGTCCAGAATGGATCGGGATGTGTAATGTCAGAGCTACTGATAATGTTAACCAGTAAAAAAGTCCATTTGCTGTAAAGCAGTAATAAGTAACAATTCCAAAACCTTTGTACAATACTGAGTTGTTGTTGTTGTTTTTTAACGAAGCTTAATAAGAGTTGACTGATCTGATGAATATTCGGAATCATGGGGGGAGAATGTGTTATCAGAATATAAGTGGCTCCGGAAGTGGGCAGGATGGAGCAATTACTGTGTTCTGATTGGCTGGCGCTTTGTTCCGAAAGTAAATATTTAAGTGTTTTGGCCGACATATATGCCTTATTGACCAAGCTTTATAGGTCAAGAGGACTGGTTATTGGCCCCATTGGCATGAGAAAAATCTGGCCATTTAGATCCAGTAATCTTGAACTCAGGCTTGGTCAATAACTCATTCATCACTAGTAGCCTGTAAGCAAGCTATCCGGGGCACTCTGGAGGCGGCCGGAGGCGAGCTGACACCAGAGCGCCGCCTCGGCCGAGAGCTTGTTCGCAGGCGAAAAGATCACATATATTTCGCCTAGCCAACACCAATCTCCATCAGGTTTATTACAAAGAATTACAAACTTAAACGTGAAAAGGTTCCATATAAGGCACTTTCGGAAGATAGACCGAAAGTATGGCGGACCGGTGGCAGAGGAGGTCCCCTCGAGTTAACTCGTTGGTGGTAGGGGGAGGGGGGGAGGGAGTCGTCTACTAAGGGGGTCGAAGTGCATGCGCATCTCAGAAAATTTGAAAAGTCGATGTTCTGAAATGCCTTAATAACTATTATCCTTTAATTAATAATTTCTTTAAAACAGTAGTAAAGCGCGGAATATTTACTTAATACATTATCGCTATCAAAAACATGTTGTGAAAGTCGAGAAGCTCCTTGAACTGAAATTTTACAGGTAAAAAAGTTCCTTTCGCACGTTTTTTGGTAGTAAAAACTCTATTATCAGGTATTCTCCATGCGCGCACTTGCAGAGTTCCCTTTGTAAGCTTTCTTCTTTTAATTTTTGGCCTGTTGTTCGTGCTCTTGATAAATGCTGTAAACTTCCTAGGAACAACAACACCAAGCAGTTTTTCTCAACTTATTTTGCCAAAAAGGAAATGTTGAAGAAATGTTCAATTTTTAACCAAACCTATGAACTAATCCCTTACAAAAAATGCCAATTTTGTGCCTTTCTGAAATCGACTTTCTTATTGTCTAGAAAGGGAAGTTTTCTATCCACAACGTCATCAAACACTTTCTCTCGGCCTATATTGCCTAAAAAGAATAAATAAATAAATTTCACAATTTTTGACCAAAATAAAAGTCTAGTTTTCTTTCTAGAACGTCACCAAACATTTTCGCGGTTCATTACTTTACCCCAAAATATAGAAAGACGAAATTTCAATTTTTGGAGCAAAACCATGGATTCACCCCTTTGGAAAAATGCATATTTTGGGACTTTATAAATTCGATGTTTTTACGGTGTAGAAAGTTTAGTTTTGTTTTCCTAGAACGTCACCAAACACTTTTTCTCGGCCTATGTTGCCCAAAAAGAAAGAACGAAGAAATTTTACATTTTTAACCAAAACCATGGACTAACCTGTTTGGCAATGGATGCATTTATAGTCTAGAAACGCTAGCTATCTTGAAGGCCATTGCACCAAACAGTATTTGTCGCCCCATTTTGCCTCGAAAGAAACGATGACGAAATTTCACACACTTTTTTGGCCGACTTTGCTTTAAAAGAAAGGATGAAGAAATGTATCACTTTTGACCAAAACCATGGAATAACCTTTTGGAAAAATGCAAATGTTGCGAATTTCTAAACTCGATGTTTTTATAGTCTAGAAGGACTAGTTTTTTATCTAGAACGTCACAAACACTCTTTTTCGGCCTACTTTGCTTAAAAAGAAAGGACGAAGAAATTTCACATTTTTGACCAAAACTATGGACTAACCCTAATTTCTTGCTTAAATTGATGTTCGTATTATTTAGAAAGGGCTATTTTCTATCTGAAACGTCACCAGACACTTTTTGCTTAAAACACTTTGGACAAGTGGGTAAGTTTAGCCAGTGTTTTACAAAACCTCGCTCTAAGCGATTTTCAGTTCGCCGAACGCTTTTGTACACCATTTATCGTGAACAATTTCTTGAAAGCATATGGTGTTGACTAGGAAATCATTTGTCCTCTTAAAATAACCCACTGAAGAAGAGATCTGGAAGTCCAAAGATTTCTTAAACCGCGGTCTAACTTAGATTTCCTTTAAATAACTGACCCTTTTTCTCGGAGGTTTCTGGGCCATGTACTCAGGATACCTGATGATCAGCCATGCAAGGAGTACGCACTGTATATTCCACCACATGGGAAGAGAAAACCAGGAAGGCAACGAACCCTGTTTCTCAGATACATTCAACACCTTTTGCGGAGACACAGACAACATGATTGGCCCGGGCAAGCTGTCTGAATTGGCACAGGATCGTTGTGGCTGGAGGAAGCTCGTAGTCGCCTGCTCTGCAGCCGACCGATGATGATGATGATTTCTCGGCCTGTTCTGATTAAAAAGAAAAGAGGAAGAAATGGCAATTTTTTTGACTTAAACCATGGACTAACCCCTTTCGAAATACGCAAATTTTGCGAGTTTCCATAATCGATGTTTTTACTGTCTTGAAAGGCTCCTTTCAATCTGGAATGTCACCAAACACTTTTTCCCGGTCTATTTTAACTAAAATGAAAGATAGACAATTTTGCGACTTGTCTCATGAATGAATGTAGTTATTTATTTCATTGATTTATTTACAATTTGATCATCAAATCTAGGAGAGGGGAGGGGAGGTACTCCACAAAGTTTTATATGGGTAGGCTCTGCTCCTCAGGGGTCCAATCCCTGTACCCCTTTCACAAACCTTCCATTGAGAGATGCTACCCCTTACCCCTCATACCTAATTTAGAACTTTGATCCCCTTAAACGTTCGTAAATGAACTGTTTTTTAAAATTTTACCCGTTCATATACCTAAAGCCTGCAAAAGGTACCTGTTTCGGGTGTAGCCTTCCCATACCGGCCGTTATAAGGAGTAACCCCAGGCATTAAATTAACCTTTATTTCTTCTCAAAGTCAAATTTTACTTGTGTATTGTATTGTACCAAGTGGCACACACTTTGTATTTAGTTTTGTCTTAGCATGCCAGATAATTTTTGCTGTAAAAGAGATAAACCATTATAAACGGTCCGATTTTTAGAGTATTATCATAATATCCCTTTTGAGCAGTAGGCACACAAGTTGTGCTAATGAATAATCAACATTTCTTCCCTTCCTTTCTAAAAAAGTGAAATCTTCATTTTGAATTGGTGAAGCACTCACCTCAGTACTTCATTTACCAAAGACCGTGCCTGAATGGCCTTATAACAAAATTAAGGAAATTCAACCTCCACACAAATAAATTAGTAATTAGCCGATTTTGACTAAAAATCCTTAGCCTCACAGATACAATCTAACCCTGATTTGCTGGGTCTGGTCTGCAAAGCAATACTAAGATCCTTGTTCTGGATCCTCAACAGACTCAACAAATTAGTTTGTTTTGAATTTCTCTCCAGCCTGATTGGTCTATTGAACAATAGCTTTACTAACTGGCTAATCATATGTACTTAAACCTTGTTACACAGGTGGGGGCCCAGAAGAACAATTTTGGCACTGAGTGGCTTGCAGATGGACTTATCAGAGGTTTAATTTCATCTATATGGTGCACTGAGGCCAAGGTAATTGATGAGATGACAAACTAATCAACTAGTGGTAACCAAAGCACCATGCACACCATCTAGCATTTGAACATGTTTTAGCAAATATTGTAATTTTTGTAAATGTGCTGGAACCACATTATCAGTTATTATTCATGTAAAAAGATAGCTTATCAATATGTAGGAGAAACAAAATTTTTAGGGATCACAGTGTAGATAAAAAGAAAATTCTAAAATTTTTTCTAGTTTTATGAAAATTTCCCTTCTCTTCACCAATAAGAATAAAAAATTATTTCAATAATTAATATTATTACACTGGCTATCAGGAACAGTGTTCAAATTAACATTTTACTGTACAAACTTTGTGTTTAAATATTCTCTTCTGCAATACCCCATATCCCACAGAAAAATCATGTAAACTGACAAAATAATTAATGTGACTCTTAATTTCTCTAATAAACATACTGTCCTGGAAATTTCATAATGTAGAACTCCTCACTGGGATTTGAAGACAAGCTCTGTGTTGACATACTCAATGCTCTTGATTGAAGTGGGGTGTTCAGGGCATCCAATACTGACAACACCTTTGAATTGAACTCTTGTGTTCTTGTACATGATTCACCTGCGATTTCCGAAAAACTTGATGCTACACCAGCCTTTTCTTTCTTGTTTAAGGTCATCACTGACTTTTCTGAAACAATGTCTTTAAGCATTTGAAATGTTATTCTCTCCTTTGGGGCTAGGGAGTGTATCCCAGGTGAACTGGGAGGATTTCCATCAAGATCATTGTTAATATCTGATACCACAGATCCACCTTCCAGCCGGTGATTTAGAACATCCTTCAATGGCTGATGTTTGTAAGGTGCCTTTAGTGATCGGCCATCAGATCCTACTTTATGAAGAACTTCTCTGACATTGGAAATGTCAAAAAGGAGATGTTTAGGGATGCTATGAGCTGAAAGAACGATATGATTGCCCATTACCTTCAGAGATCCTTCTGGAGTTAAAAAGTCTGCTTCTTTTTCTCTCAGCTGGATTATGTGTGAAACATAATCTTTGAAGCCTTGAATTCCTGTAAGGAGGGCAACTAGGTGGAGATACCCTGCTACAAGGGAATGAAGAGCACAGCGGTTCATGCTTGGTAAAAGTAAGTTATCATCTAGGGCAACACTTTGTAAGCCAAACACAAACTGCACTAAACTTGAAACAACTTCAAAGTCACTGGCTACTTCTGTAGTAATAACCCCCAAGGTCAAAAAGATAGCAAGAAAATTTTCTACTGAGTTTGTAATCATGCAGGCACTTTCATACAAATACCACAACATTTCATCTTTGTTCTTCTTGAAAAAAATGAGGTCCTGTTTGGAGCAGTCTACCACTGTCAATTCAGTCTCTTGACCTCTAGTTAAGACTCCATTCCAACCAAGCTTTTTAGCATTACCATGACGATCAAGCAATGTGTAGAGAATCTCTTGAGCAAGTCTTCTTACTGAAAAATCATGAACAATAGTGGCTTGAAGCAATGACTCAAGAAATGTTGGAGAGAAGGTGGTAGCCAATGAGACCGAGGTGAAACTTAAAGCAACACTCTGCAGACACTGCAAAAGCATCTTTTGGAGAACACTGTCTCCTGAGATCTTTGCATGATTGTGATTTTCCTGAGTTAGATGGTGCCCAGAAGCTTGAATTCTGTCAACAAATGGAAACTTTCCCATGATAAACATCATAATATCTGTTTTCTGAAAGTCAGGTAAAACTGCGGCAAATGCTCCCACTGTGCTGACTAGAGACTCCTCAAATTCTTTCTCATCATCATCATCATCATCATCAGTAGAATCACCGTGTTTAGCACCATGAAATCTGGCATCTATGGATGAACGCAGATGACGGAGAAGTGTGTTGAAGACTTCTAACACTGCTGGACCAATGGAGCTGTTGCTGGCAATTGAAACACAAGCAGCTAGCACTTGAACAATGCTGGCTTTTACTTTCGCTCTGTCTCTAATGTGATCGTCCAGATGAGAAAGGAGCTTCTCAATAATGATGTAGTTAAACTGATTCTGCACTGAATACAAAATAATCTTGAATACCTTGAGAGCAAAGTCATTGGGTACCCATAGCTCACTCTTGTCAAAATGGGTCAGAGCTGGATTAACAATTGATTTGATGTTTCCAAAACTAGCTCTGTTAATTAATTCCCGCAGGCAGGATTCTGCAAGAGAAGCTGGATCTTCCTCAGTATTGGAGCCCTGTATATCTTCAGTACTTGACAGTTTAACTTTTCCACTCTCTTCCATGACAAATAGCAAAGAAGGAATGATTTTACTCATGTGAGTATCATCCATAATGTTGGCTTGGAGATCATCTGAGACAGTTTTTCGAACAACACCCTGCAAGCCCTTTAAACCAGCTAGACGAATTCTAGAACAGTCGTTTTTACTTCCAGAGCTGAACCAACACATCGCACTGAATTTTGAAACAAAAAAATCGTAACGCCGATGATATGAGGGAGTGTCTTCTTCGATATTTGCAAACTTTACAAAAGAGGTGCTGCCGAGAACTTGCAAATCAGTCTCTGAACTTTCAAGCAATTTCTGTACCATTTTCAAAAAGCTCTCGACAAACAAATTCAAGTTAGGTGCATGACATGCCAACAAAAGTTGATCAAGGGCTTCCACCGTAATGAACACAAGTCCAAATCTTCTACGCTCTACGTCTCTGTTTAATTTCTTCGCCAAGTATGCCCCGATTCTGTCTAGTTTTTCGGGCGAAGAAAGAGCGTAAAATATTAGCTTGTCCATATTTGCTTTCACTAAACCTTGGCGTGGATCGGCAGGGTAAATGTTATCTACCAAGCGTTTGTAACGTGGCTGGAATTTGCCAAAACATGAGCAAATATGAGAACTCGCCATCTTGATGCAAAGAAGGAAACTTTCTTTATTAACATTGCGCAATCTCTTTGCAGGTGGCCGCTGGTAGATTGCGATCGCGGGCGATTAGTAATGGCTTGTTTGTTGTGTCTCAGAGTTGCAGTTTATTTTTGATCAACAAATTGTTTTGGAGTTGATGGAAATTTTTTGAGGTGCATTTTTCAAGGATATGCAGGACATCTGAGGTACCTTACGCCTCATGGCTCAAGTGCGAAAAGCGTCAGGTCGAGATCGTGCTACTGAAACCACGAGAGAGCTACCTCAAGCTATAGCGAGGTACATCAAAAGGGTGTAAACAAACAGCTTATGGATAACTCATAAACTGCGTCAATTTAGAAAAAGGAAAAGGGGAAGCGGGTGGCGGTTCGGGAGTTGGATAAAACGTTTCAGTTTGTTTTCAGTTTCTAAATTAGAACAACAACATTTTATTCAATCTCAAGCTACTCCTTCTTCATCTTACTCCTGATGATCCCTACATGTCACTGTAGATTTTGGCCCTACAGTCCGAGAATGAATTTCCTTTTATTATTTTTTCAATTTTGATCCGATCAGATTTAAGTCTGACTACACCCTTCTGTGTCAACAAAAAGCGTTGTAAGTGAAATCAGTTTTCCTGATGGGTGTCACACAGTACATCACACATACAATCAAGAAGTGAAGTTTTTTTTTTCTTTCAATGACAGCACTCAGCCTGCATGAAAGGCACTTTACAAGCCAAGTGAGGCAAACATGCAAAATGCCGCATATGCCTTGCTTGGTTCATAAAATGGGTCTTAGTTAGTGTAAATTTTGGGACTGTTAGCTTTTAAGTTGCTCAAGTAATGAGAACTATTGTTCTTTTGTGAAGCTATATGAACCACTCCACTTTGTGTTTCATTTGATATCCAGATACCTTGAAGTTGGTCACATAAGACTTGGTAGTGCCTTGCTTTGCAACCCACATCTTAGTGTCTTGATATTGGATGAAACATTGCTTGTCATAAATTTTTGATTTATTATTGGTACTCCAATTTATACAAACAGGTCTTCTTCAGCTGGATCCATTAGAAAAAGCATCACAAAGGTAAAAGTACAAAAGAAAATACTTAAGGTGTTAATCTTTTGTACTGATCAATGTACTGCTAGGGATTAGTTTTTGTTAGAAATGAGACAGTGTTCCCTCTTTCATTTTTCTTTGTAACCTACTACCTAGCCTATCCCAGACTAGCTGACTATGGCCTTATGAACAGAAACTGCAGTTGCTCATAACACCCTTAGGTTTTCCTTAAATAATATCCTTTTCTAGGCGTATCCTCATATCCTGTCCTCTGATTTTTATACCCTCTTCCAGCCTAAACTGCTTACATACCCTACCTTTCAAAGCAGCACATGTATACTTAACAATATTATTCCTCGCCCCCGAATGGGCTCTGAGTCAATAGCACATGAGGCCGAAGGCGAATGGGCTATTGACTCAGAGGCCATGAGGGCGAGAAGAATAATTGTTGTAGTAAAATCCAACTTGTTAGTCAAAAAATATCGAGACAAAACAACTTTAGCTAGATAAATCCTTTTTTGCTGCCAAAAAGCTAGCGCTTTGGGCTACTAGTGTGCTATAACATATAACTTAGTAGTAGCTCAATCAATCAGAATGCAGCATTGATGATAGACCACTAGTTGGATTTTACTAAATTAATATAGCCTATATATGGTAGTGATCTGGCCCCCACCCTACAGGTGTGTTCTTACTGGGTCCAATACTAACAGCTTGGTTGAGGTGCTGCCTTGCACCTGCAAAGCAGCTACGTGTTCTTGCTGCTGTGTAAAGATTATTTGAACATAGTGTGACAGAGGTAATAAAAGTTTGTTTTGGCTGAGCATTGCCTAAACATCAGTGATGGAAAAATTTTCTTCTTTAGAGGGTGACTAATGTTATTGTATTGATTCAATGTGATTGTACACCAGGTACCTTCGGAAGGCCTGATTGTTCTTCCACCAGGTTAGCATATTTTGATAGAAAAACCACTATTAGAAATGAACTAAGAGGTCTAAGGTTAGAAGTATAATATGAATTTTCTAAAAATGACCCCATCTTGGAGCAACCAACCAGTTTATAGTGCCATGGCTTCATTACCAGGGACTAGTATTGGAGAGAAAGAGTGCTACCCAGAAACCTACCCTCCTGTAAGATAGAAATTTTGTTGCCAGTATATGGCCTCGCTCTCCAAGAGTTCTCCGTAGCTGAAGAGGATAGAGTGCCCGCCCAGTGTTTGGGAGGTCATAGGTTAGAATCCTGCTGGGGACTCGGAGTTTTTTCTTTGTCCCACGCTCGTGGCATGCTGATTATTTCATTTTCACATATATGATATTCTTTTTTCACACTCTAAATGTTATGTCTGTTGGTAAGTAGAGTCTGTAAACAACTGTTAAATGGCATTTTGTTTTATAGATAAAGAATTTGTTAGATTTGAAAATGGAGGTGATTCCAGTACAAATTGTGTGAGTGTTGTCAGAGTTGGGAGCGCAGGGCGGGTGGAAAGGAACCTTCAGATGGCAAGGAAAAAGGAACTGGAAGATGAAATTTCTACAGACAGTGCTTCAGCATCTGGCATCACTACTGATGGTAATACAATGATTGATTTAATTTGGTCAAGCAGTTGATAAAAAATAAGGTTTTTAAAAAAACTAACAGAAAAAGTGCAGGTTAATCCTGTGTTCTGACAGGCTAACCAAGTGGGAAAGATCAGCCTATGTTGCCTGCCCAAGATCCCTTCCTGCAAGAAAATACATCTTTTGGACATGTAATGGACATAGTATGTTATTTTATAATATTATTATATTATTCACCGTTTATTGACCAAGGTTGTTTGGCCAAGATGGCTGGATATTGCCCTTTTTTGGCAGGGGGAAAATGGAATTTGGGCATGTTAAAAGCTTTAACCCACCTGGTTACTTGCTCAATAATGAACCTTATGTGCAATTACCATTTTCCATCATTTAATCTTTGTTGCTTTTCATTTCATTCATAGGAGAGTTACAAAAACGAGAAACAAAATGTAAACCATTGAAACAGACTGATAAGCTAGATGCTAAAGTTGATCGTAAAGAAGAAGAAGAGGAATCTGAAAGTTCAGACAGTGATTCTTCAGACAGTGATGAACCAGAAACAAGTGCATCAGCAGCAGCAACAGAAGCAAAAGAGGGGGCTGCTCAGGCTCCTGTGGAACTTAAAGGAAAGGTATGAAACATTTGTGAAGGCAGAGTAGCTACCCGTCAAAGACAGATTAGACAGTAAGTACGTACTGTTACTCATAACAAGGAAGTTTGAAATAAGCACTCCCCTCAAAATAGTGCAGCAGTGACGAGTCAAAACATTAAGTACCAATGTGCTCTTTTGAGCAATTTAGAATGTGTATATATAGCATGTAAAAATTTTTAATTCTCCTTCTCCAAGGGTGACATGAATGTTCTGTCATGTTCTGTATAAATAATTTTATTATATACACTCACAGAATGTAACTTCACTTTAGTTCCTAAAGGCAGTCATGGATGAAGACTATGAAAATGCCAAAGAACTTTGTCAGAAGAGTAGGTTACTTCTTTTTCACTGAGTTAGACTAATGGTTTTATTCTTAATTATATTCTTTATTATTACTTTACTCTCAAGTGATAGTTCTCTAATGAAAGTTTTGTTATTGGCTTATTTACCACAGTTCTGTTGTTAGAGCCAGATAATAAAACATGCAGTGAATTTCATGCTGTTATTGTGGAGAAAATTAAACAAGGTATGACTGCTAATAAAGTTGAAATACATAATTCTTATATATCCACTCTGACAACAGTAGTTACTATGGAAACTGTCTTGCAAGAAATAATCACAATGCAATGAAATCTCCACATTACAATGAAAATCAACATATTGTAACAAGGGGGACATGGGGGTTTACAGTATTGAGCTTTTTTTCAAGTGGTATTTTGTTAGTTTTGATTTTAATGTGTGGTATTGCGGTATCATCTAGCCCTGCGGTATACGGTTTTGCATCCTTTTGGTTTACGATATTCTGTAAAAGAATATCCTTTATGGTATTGTGGTACCATTTATTTGCACTCTTCTGTCTAATACAGGTCAATACAATGTGCAGCATGAACAACAGTAAGCTAAATAGGTTAATAAAAGTTAATATTTTAAGACTTTAGACTTAATGGTAAATGATTACACTATCTGCGACAAAATTGGAAGGGCATCCAAAGACCGGGCTTTTCGATCGTTGTACTGATCAAGGTCTTCTCTGGTTTCCTCACAATGTCTCAGGTTGATTTCTGGTGCATCATTGCTTGGGGTAAACAAACATGCAAGATGGATACAGCTTTAAGTAAATGTGACCAATCATAAATGCAGTTATCTGTATTTCATGAATTTTTGGCATGGTATTTCGGTATTTGCCAATTTTTCTTATGGTATTACGGTATTGGGTACCCCCCGATGTCCCCCTCTGTAATAGATCATGTTTTTGCAGGCTTTAATAATGTTTATTTCTACTTTGTTGTGTCACATAATTCAGAAGACGAGAAGAGTGATGATAGTGAGGAAAGCACAGAAGAGAGTAGTGATGAGACAGAAGAGGATGAAAACCAAGAGAGCAGCGAAGATGATCAGGATGATGATGATGATAATGAGGAAGACGATGATGAAGACAACGAAAGCAGCTCTGATGATGACTTTGCTTTACCACCAGGCCCTATCAACTTAATCATGGGAGGACTTCCTATTAGACCACAGAAAAGATGACAAGAAACCCTCTTCTTTGTATCTTCCTTGGATCATAATGTAATTTGCACCAAGTTTTATTAATACTCAAGATTTCATGAAGTTTATCTGATGTGATGTATTTATCAGAACAGGCAGGAGGAAGTTGTGTACAGCCAGGTTACTCTAATGGGATCTGAATATCTAATGTGACCAGTCTAACTGAGGTCCCATGACATAACTTTTATTGTTGTCACCTACCTTTATCAAATGGTCATTGTCAAGTTCCAGAAAATATCTATACCCCCCCCCCCCATGAGGGGCTATAGAAATTGTAAGGGGTGGGGGTCCAGAAGGAGGAAATTTCCTAGGTGTTGGGGGTGGCTTCTCGAGGTCTTTTCCGCGGGGGCTCCAAGTAAGACTGGCAATTATCAAAAACAGCGGCTCTGTTGACCAAGCTATCAGTTAGTTTATTGTTTACAGTCTCTTTAAATAAAAATTATTGTTTTCATCGATAATCTTTTATTTACGGTCTGCTGAATGATTTTTTTACATCTTACAAATGGTGGTGATCGGCTCATGAATAAACTTCTGGTTATATACCCGTTTCTGTATTGTACAATATATTGTGGTATTCACGGCAATGTGGTTGTCTTCTAAGCCTTCTTATAAGATGTTTTTGGGTACCTACCCAAGTTGAAAAATAATGGAAATTCCAGTAGGGGGTCTGAAAAGCACCCCCTAGAATAGAAATTCTATGGGGTGGGGGTCTAAAGCAAAAATGCCCTCCATGCATGGGGGGTATGGATATTTTCTTGAACCACACATTCCCCAAGAGTCACAGTTAACAATCAAGAAAATACCCGTAGCATTTTGAACGTGCAGCAATACCTTTATTGTCAGAAAGGTTACTACAGAAACACGAATACAAATGCTTAATTTATATCTTAATAATTTACTTAAGACAGAGTGAACAACAGGTGTTTAGCTTTTCTAAAAAGCTTCTAATCTTTATGTGAGACATAGCTACTATGCAGCTTCATCATTTCATCAGTGAAATAGAGGCAGTTTGAAGTCCACTGAAAAGACCGAACTAAAAGATGCTTTAATAAGGTAGACTAATATATAAATGTCAAGCAGTGAGGCTTGAATCTGTGCTGTGATGTCTAAATCAGTGATGAAAGAGTCGCATGTTAGTAAGCACCATAGTCATGTTATGTTCATCAGCTGCCTTGATGCACACCTCATCAGCCACAGATCCTGCAGGGCTGGCAATGAACTCCACACCACTCTAACAATACAAACACCTCAGTTTAGACTTCATTTGTAAAAATAAACCTCAGGTTTAGACACAAAACTCACATCAATGATACACAGAAGGCTAGTGTCTTTAAAAACATTATAATAAAGATAGTGTTTGGGAGTTGTATTTGTATTCTTTTTCTTTATATTTTTGTAATGACCAACTATTGTGAGGGTTTTTGTAAAAACCATTATCACTGCAAAAATAATGCCAATGACGTCGAAAGAAGTCAAGATTTCTAAAGAGAAAGTGGAGGTAAATGTTGAGGAGGAATGTGAACAATGTACATTTTGTCAATTTTACCTAGTTGTACCTTTTACCTTTGAAGTCAAAATTGTGCTTACTCTAACAAATTTGTTAATAAATGATAAGCCTTCCACAAAAGTGTTGGTAATAGCAGAAGTATTTTGGCTAAATACAAGATTCTTGGCTAGTACAGATAAGATAAGCCATTGTAACTTGAAAAATTTAGTCGGCGGACTAAAGTACTTTCTGAAAATCACTTGTGGAATCACATGTTGACTATTATGATAATTATATTATATTATGATATTGGAATGGTCAACGATGACCATTTGCTGGTTCCCTTAAGTGTTTGTGCTGATACCATTGTAAAAAAAAAGTTGAGATATTTTAATAAATTATTAATACAAACCAGATGGGCTCTGTCAATGTTGTCTCTAAATGGAAAGAAGGCATCTGAACTTAGAGAAACACCCTGAAGGGTTGCAATCCACTCTTTTCTGTCAGCCTAGTCAGACAAAAGATCATAGATTTTCATAAATCAATTGTGGTGACTGGATATACAGTGTATTTGGAAAAAAAAAATAGAAATATTATTAGCTGACGTGTGGCCTGTCAAGCCTTGAAGGTTCTCACCATCTACCAGTGATTCAACTGTGAGCAGTCCCTTTCAGTCAGTTGAGTCTAGGTTTGCCTTGGCTAGCTGACCATCCAAGGGATGATCACTGTCTAACCTGCAATAGTCTCATGCACAACCTCAAAATTGCAAGTATTGCCAACCTTCCCTTGCTTCTTTACAAAGTCTTGCTATGATATCCCACTAGGACATGACTTAAAAGAAAAAACGGCTTAAGAGAAAATACATATAGCTTATACTAAAACTATTAGAGTGTGCATTTTTCCCAGTTTGATTTAAAATCTACAGTATTTTCTTTCTCCTTTGATGTTAGACTCACAGACCTATTTCACATTTTACTCTAACTTCAACACTTTCCTCCAAAACACCTGGGCCGGGTTGTTCAAAGCAGGGTTAACATAACCTGGGTTTAGTGCAAAATTTGAATTCAGATATGAAAGCTTAAAAAGCAAACTCAGTTTATTTGTTTTGCCTACAATTTGATGATTGGAAGCTCGACAAAGAATAGAGAAAATTACCTGGGAAAATACTTTTCAACAAACGAAAAAGAAACCCAGGTTAAAATTTAACCCTTGGTTAGTGAACAACTGGGGCCAGATTGCCAGTTAACTTTACTCCAGTGATAACACACCTGAAGTCTCAAGTTGGTGTCTTTACTCACAGGCACAAATGTATGTCAGACAAAAAAAAATCATTATTGGTTTGTAACAGTGTCGAACCTATTAAGAAATTAATAATTGATTTCTTGTTATTGTTCCCTCCTTCATATATGGGGTGCATCAGTTGAGATGACTGATGCGGTTCTAAATCTCAAACGAAGGCGACACGTTGGGATGCAGGACTAGTACAACATCACAGTAGTTTTTTAACATTCATGAGAGATTTTGTAATACCATGTGTTTAGTACCTACGATATAGTAGTTTTACAATAGACAGGAAAACCATGCCTGTACATGTAGGTTACAGACAAATACAATTCTAGTTTAGTCACATTTTCACTTGGCATTGCAGTAGCAACATTCAATTTTATTGCACTAGCAATTATTTCCCTCCCTTCTTCCCTGTAGGGTTTTGTTTTGTTCTATTCATGGACAATGTGATCACTTTTATTACTTGATTGAGGTTGTTCTGATTTTTTTAGTTTGGTCTTCCTTATTTGTTGGAGTACTTTATTTGTATACTAGATATTACCTTTTAGTTATTTACCATGTATTGTACTTTGTTATGATTAATAAAGGCTGTTGTGTATCCCAAACAATGCCTGGGTTTCTGAGTTTTGTTGATTTAGACCATGTTTTCTAACCATTGGGACTTGAGAAATCAAAATCAATCAGTGCCTATATATATATATGGCAATTTGTACAACGACATACCTCAGTTAGAAGTTCTGGTGGGTTTTCAAACATTTCTGTCCAAGCTTCTTTATCTGTATCCTGAAGTGAGTGCAAATAATACATGCTTGGCAACTTGATTTACAATCATAGGTGAATATTCCAATCACAAAAAGTGGACCCTTTGGTGAACCACAAACTCTACCACAGCAATAATTTATTGGGCCTAGAGCAGGACATTTTATAGTAGTAAAGCAAGTATTTGACACTTATGGACTAATTCAGTAGGAAGAGATTCAATTGGTAAATATCAATAGTTGGTATCTTCACATTACGTGAATGTTTGTTTGTAATATCACCTGCCCAACTGTTCCATTAACATACACATCTATGGCATTTGACATTTCTGCTCTCTTTACTCCCTGAAAAAAATAATACCTTAATTAAATAAGCCAAGGTGATGATTGATGTATGCAACTGAACTTGACTAGGTGTATTCCTTTGGAAGAACCCCAATTGGGATTAATGATCAAAGATCTGGCTAGTGGTGCATCAAAAGTATCGTCTGGAATATCATGGCTCCTTTGATGCAGATCGATCCAAGTAATCTTGGATCATAAATCTTGACCTGGATCATCCCAAAGGAACGCATGACATTAAAATGTCTTATTCTACAGATCTAGATGTGCTCTGTCTCAAGATATAAAGTGAATTTTCTTTATCTTCAATCAGCTAACAGTAACCTTTTTTTGTAAGAGAACTGCATTTAGGCTGACAGGAAAAGAGCTTTTCAATAGAAACAATATTATCAAAACCCAATCAAACATTCTAGTAAATATTCACACCTTCTTGAAAACCATACCCATGACTCTGGGGTGTTGACGAAGCCACCTGTTAATCACACAAAAAAGAGATATGTGAGATATAATTAAAGATGGGCTGATATTTAAAGGCAGCTGGGCCAACTCTTACGGTACTTTATGCATAGATCACAGTTTTGGGGGGAAAAGTACATAAATGATGAAAATCGAAGGCTACCACTGTAAGAAAATTCAGTACCTCGTGAAGCATTCAACCCTTGGCATCACAGGGCCTAGTCTATTATATTGCTCCACCATCTTAGCCTTTGCTCAATTTGAACAGTAAAATATGTATTTGAACATCCCTTACTAACTTTTTTGGTATTGTTGTAAGAGAGGAGGTTAATGGCCGAATGTTTTTACTTGGGGTCCAGCAGACTGGCATTCAATCGACTGAGATAACTCGGTGATGTCAGACACAGACACAGTACACTACCACATTTCACAGGTGGATAAATAATAATATTATTATTCTTACCAGTTGTTTGCCTTGTCACCTGCTAGCCTGGTACAGTGGATACGAGACTGTTGTCCTGCTCCAATGCCTATTACCTAATATAGACAATATATATCACAAGTTACAGGATGTAAACAATTTAAAATGTAGCCTAAAATTTTGCTACAGCTAACATTTTCCATCATTTTGGCTTGAAATAAGAGTATTGTATTTTAAACTAAAACAAAGATTCTGTCGCTAAGGAAATTATATAAGAAAATTGAATTACTGGAGTTCCGGTTAAAGCTTATACAACTGACATGGCTAAGATGGTATGCCCTTAATTGAGTAAGTAACTGATTCAACAACTAATGGAGATATCCCTGATGAAGCGATCATTAATGGATTACCTGCCCATCCTTGGCATAACACACTGAATTAGACTGGGTGTACTTCAAGGCAATACTGGCCACAGTTAAATCACGCAAGGCACTCTTTGGTAACTGAAAAGAAAATGTAAAATGTAATGTGAAATGCATTCAGTATATATCATCACTCAATCCTAATCAAATACATAGACCTGAGAATTGAATGTCTGAAAGATAACAAATAGCTTAACACGAAAGGGCATGAAGCTAATGCATCATTCAGTTTGACCTGCTACCACCCCCCCCCCCCCCCCCCCACCAGGCAGCCCCCGGGACAAGTCCAGCCTTTCTGGCCCGGGGGTTGGGGAATTGTTTGTCCCGTGGGAAGGGGGCTGGGGCAAATAAAAAATACTATCTTCTCTTCGATTTTGCGAAGTACATGTCATTTCTTGCGCAGTTTGAACGATGGATGAGGACCTCAAGGCTATGTATTTAGAGGAAAAATTGTTTTAAAATTTGAAACAAATGTGCGTATGATGCGTACATTTTATTTTTTTGGAAAAGAAGGACTGAAACATTTCTTCAGTCTAGCTTTAATATACAAAGACAACTTATATGAAAACGGGTACAAGGCTTTTGATGCATATAGATAGTCCAGAGATTCAGTGTTCTTATGAAGGGTTATACCAAGGAGGTTCTTTTTAAAGAGTTTTTCTTCTTCGTTTTCATTTTCAAATTTATTGTTCATGTCTTAACTACAATATGACATCCATCATCCTTCTCTCAATAAACTCTGGAAAACGTTTATAAAAGTTGTGAAAAGTCTCGCATTACATTTGTACGCACCAAAAAGACGTTTCCATAAAAAATGTATATGAGGATGATGAGGAGCTCGGGGGTGGGGGGGGGGGAGGGGGGGAAATTTTCCCCTGCGGCCTGGGGGGGGGGAACAGACCCCAAAAAAAGAAAAAAATTACAAATCCCTGGGGAGAATGCGGGGGGGGGGCGGGGGAATGGTTAGAGCACAGCAGGACCGAGCGAAAAAAAATGGAATTTTATAGAAGCAAAAAGAGCGAAGATGAGGTGGGGAGGGGGAGGGGGGGGGGGGGGGGGGGGGTAGGGGGGGGGGCGGGGGGGGGTGGGGGGGGTGGTGGTGGTCCCGGGGGGGGGGGGGGGGGCGGAAAACCGAAAAGAAAAAAAAAAAAGGGCAGGTCCGTGGGGGGGGGGGGGGGGGGGGGGGGGGGCATGGTTACAAGTCAGACTGAACCAGGCATAAATAATGGAAATTTCTAGAAAGAAAATTTAGGTATTAGCCACTGTGATGGTAACTGATACTCAGTTGCCTTTCCTTACGAAACTACGTCGGCAAGACCAACGGCAACGTCAAAAAGCAATGGGTTTAGTTAACAAAACAACAACTCTGCACGTGCATCACACTTCTTTGTACATTTCTTTGCCGTCCATGCACAACTAAATTCTAAGTCTTTTTGGAGGACCGGAACAGCAAGGCGATAAGTTCTACCATCTCTGTCTGAACTCGAGTGCGGACCCCTCTCTTCAGCTCCAACATAAATTCCCTTCTTTTAAGTAACTGGGCAACTTGGGATAATCGCGAAATGATTTGAAAGGCTGCAGAGTCTATTTTTCAGCAAGGTTTTCATGGACATCGCCGTTGTTGGATCATAAGGTCCTATTTGTTGCATCCTAAACTGTCAGTGTGGGAACCCTCTCCCAATACCAACTAAACTTTCACCGGCCTCAGTTGTTCAAAAGGTGGATAGCGCTATCCACCAGATAAATCACTATCCAGTGGATAATGCGATTGGTTTTTGTACTACTTATCCGCTGGAGAGTGATTGATCCAGTGGATAGCGCTATCCACCTTTTGAACAATGGGGTCCAGGTATCACTTTAGACGGTGAAAGAACCAAAAACAAACAAACAAAGGGAAATTGGCTGGGAAAATTTGAAGGGAGTTAAGCTGTTACCCTTCTCGTTGCCACTTATTACTATTTCCATTCAATGAAAAAACTCTTTTTATAGCAACAAAAGATTAGTTCCTTGTCATACACAAAACATAGCAGGAAAAAAACAATAGCATAAATATGAGAAGCTGTAAGGGTCATACATTGTTGGTTTCCAAGTTGCTTTGAGCATGATAGCAATCACTAGGGAACATGTCATAATGAATAGACCGCAACAAAATTTCATTATTATGAATGACTGTTGACTGAAACCAGGTATGGGAATCAACAAGTCACATACCTCTTTTCTCTTTGACGGTATGTTGGTAAAGAAACTTTTGTCAATCCTGGCATTGTTTCTTAGTTGTTCAAGTTTAAGCCCAAAGATGGTTCGAGTCTCGTATTCAGCAGGTTCATAGTCAGGATCCATCTGCATAAAAAAAAACAAAGTTTAAAAAGGGAAATCTTCTTACTTTTGACTCTTATAATTTAAAATGTGATAAAATTTTCTCCATCAAAGTTTTTCAAAAGTTTTGATAGATGTGATCAAAAAATGAGTGCTCTATGATTTATCACAACAGGTTCACTATTTTGCTATGGTGCATAATTTAAAGGCAACTGGTATGCTTCATGAATATGACCTTTGTTACCAGTTGAGGATAGCAAACCATAATATTTTTATGTGCAAGAATCACAGTGGTGGATCCAGGGGAGGCCCCCCCCTTATTTTTTAGCCCAACCAAGTTACAATATGTTTTGCTTAGTTTATGTTGCTTAGGAGTGGGAAACTTTTGGAGAGGGGTTGCACAGGGAGATTGGATTGTAATAACAATAGTAATATGTTATTAATTTGGTTAAATGTAATTTAACTACGTTGACTACCATCAGCTTAGCAGTCAAGCAGTCCATGAGTTTAGCAGTCAAGAGGTTCATCAGCTTAGCAGTGAAGTGGTTCACAAGCATACTGGTCAAGTGGTTCACAAGCTTAGCAGTTAAGTGGTCCAAAAGCTCAGCAGTCAAGCAGTCCACAACCTTAGAAGTCAAGTCGCCCATGAGCTTAGCGGGCATCCAGCTCACATGATAGAACTAACTGTGGTAGCCTTTAACACCGCTAAGATCTTTGAGTTCTTCATCTGTGGAGAGGTTGCTTTAGTGTCTTTTGTGGTGGGTCCTGGCTATGCTCAGTCGCGTATAAGCTTCTTTTTAAAATTGCAACAGGCCTTTTTGTGGACCTGGCCGACCTACTACGAGACAATATTCAAGCTCAAGAAATCAAAGCCCACGTGTTTTTGGAGGGAAAACTGGTGGTATCAAGGTCTCAGAAACGGGTTGTTGAAATAGCAGACATCGTCACCTGGATAGAAGCCTTCACAATCTTTTGTATGATTCTTTGCCACACCTTTCCCTCTCGCTGGAAAGGTTTAAGGCAGTAAAAGTTACTCATTATTCAGACAGCAGGACGCTTCTCTGACAAATCATGGCTCCACTAGGACATCGCTTTCAGAAAAGAAGCAGCAGCCTCAGATTCAACCAACTGGTCTTGCATGCACCCAGACCTCTACAATTTTCACACTAGATCTCCGGCTACTACATCAGTTGCTTCAGGCTCCTCAACTTTCTCTGCCTTGTCACTAACAGAGTCTCCAGCATCTTCAGGCAATTGCCAGTCTAGCCGGTGTTGGGCTGGGCTTTTGTTGTACCTTCTCAGAAGCAGGGTCTGCCAAGTTCTGGTTATTTGACTTTTCTCGAGGCTTCCCCCAGCCTTGAGCCCCTCTTCAGAGGCTGATCTAGGGGAAGGGTTGAGGGGGTTGCAACCCCCCATTGGGTAGTTTTGAAACTTGTCTGGCTACCTATGTCTATCCCTTTTCATACGAAAAATAATATTATGAGTTATAATATAAGTTCCAGTCCAATCGATCATTACAAGAAGACAAGAAGACTGTATCCTCCTCTTGACTCCTAATCATCCAACTGCAATCGATTTTTGACAAAGACCACCACGCCCGCCATCTACTTTTTCTAGTGCCATCGATTATAGTAAATAAGGCACTGCAGCTGGATGATGAAGTAGAAGGCATGCTGTTCTGGGAGAAAGACATTCTACTTCCCAAATCCCTTGGAAGTGAGGTAAGTAGAAGGAAAACACTCTGGCAGTCAACAGATAGGGAGCTTCCAAACAACCTATTACTAACATGGGGTGCTTGGGATGAAGATACTTTCCCAAACATCCATCATCTTCTGCTCATTGCCTGCACCCTACTGATTACAAGCACAGAAGCTGAGTGATCATTTTCACAGCTGATGAAATGAATCAAGACCTGCTCAACAATGTCTGAAGAGTGATTCTCTAACCTCGCAGTGATCGTCATGTACTACTCCAAGAGATTTGCGCAAATCGAGGTAGAGGTAGACAAGATATGCCAGGAAGCCTTAGTAAGGGCTCATCCAAGAAGGCCCATTCAACCTAGTCTGTTTGATTGAATAGGCAGGTAAAGAAAGAGACAAACAACTATCATTGTTGCACTGTACTCTTAGTCCTTAATATAGTATCTCAGAACAACCCCCTCTTTGAAAAAATCCTGGATCTGCCCCTCCTCTTTCCCTCTCCGATCTGGCATGCATCAGCTCGGAGAGTCCCTTCAGCTTGGAGTGGGGGCTCATAACTGGGTTGCGGGGATTTGCCAGCGATGGGGCACTATTCTAGCTAGGGGCTGGCTGACCACAGTGGAAGCCCTTGGGTATCCCAGGCACCCACCTTCCACTTAAGCGAAGCAGTTGGTTAAATATAATTATAATAAGTTATTATTGTTATTGTTATATCAATCATTATCATTAGGTAATTTGACCTACCTCAAGAACACAGTATTTGCCTCCTTTCTTCTTTTTCAGCACTTCTAATGCATCTGGTTCATAGCCAGGAGCAATTATACCATCTGAAACCTTAATGGGTGAAGAAGCCACAAAGCACAAAACCATCACCAAAAACATATACAAAAACAAAGTTAACGACAACAATGCATGGCATAAAAATGTACCATAATATTGTTACTTCAAGGCTGCGCTGTAAGGAAAATTGAAGGGACCCCAGCGCTCTGAAACTGTAAAATCTAGGGTGCCCAGCATATGATTTGTATGAAAAATCTGAGATTTTCTAGTCACCCTAGGGCAGGAGTTAGGCACCAGGGGTCACTGGACTCTGCTAGAGCACAGCCCTGTACTTACTGGTTTTGTTTGAATTTGCAAGCTTACAAAAAAACCTTACAGCTCTAGGCTGGCAACAACATAAAGCTATGTGCCATCCACATAACAGCAGTCCACCAACACATGTTCAGGGACCTCTACAACTGTACTAGCCATAAACCCTTTATATAATTTGATTCAAGATTACTAGTTTAAGGCTTTTTAATGAAGCACTGAAGCAAAAAGCAGAACAAAGTTTTACCTCTCTTGAAATGATTTTTGCTGTTGGAAGATCACAGACATCTGACAGTGCAACCCAGTCACCAAATGATGACATCCTATCAGCTCCTCTTGCCCTAGCATAAGCCGTGGCCAGTGGTGTCAAGCTGTCAATCATATCATCAACCATGCACAGTTTGGCCTGTTCTTTTGTCAGCGGTTCACCTACAGCTGCTCCAGCTGGACTGACGTGTTTGAAAGATGCAGCTGCTGGCAAATCTAAAGACTGCCGCAACTCCTAATATAGGCAAAGAGATAAAAAGACTGTTATAGCAACTAAAATGGATGAAAAACAAAAATAATAATTTTGGTCACAAACAAACACAGTGAAGTGCTTTCTAAAGTTAGAGTGATTGGTAAATAATTGCTAGACCTAGACCACTTGAGATTCTTTGATTTTGATTTTGAGAGCAATTTTTAAAACAATTATTTTGCATTGGTTCATCATCAAAGGATGAAAAAAAAAAAATGACAGGTCACATCCAACCTTTTTTTTTAAAAATAACTTGAGATCTAAATGTAAGAACAAAGCCTAAGTAACTGAAAAATAACTCAAATAATTTGACTGCTAGTTTTCGATAATTTGAGATCATTGATCTAAACATGGATTTGTCAATTTCAGCCAAAATCTGAATGGAAAATTTTTCTTACAAGCGCTAGTGCAAGAGAAGCAAAGTCCAGATGTTAATGGGTTTAACAGCAGTACCCTAACGGTATAGACTTGTAACTAGATTTGAAAACTGACCCTAACAAGCTGCCATGAGTTAAAAGCATCACAGAGATTGATGAAGCCAGGAGATCCATTCAGAATGTTGACTGGCAGTTTAGGCTCTGATGTAAACAACTGTGCTGGCTTTTGATGGGGATTCATGCCATAGCGAAGGGGAATGTGAGACACTCCTTCACTGTATTTCTTTCTGAAGTAATCAGAAATGGCCTCATCGTAAGCTGCAGTATGACTAAAGGCCTGAAACATATTAAAATAATACAGGTTAGATAAGTTTTGTCCTGTACATCTGTGCAGTTGAAGACTGAAATGTTATTAGCACACGGCTTGGTGGCGGCCTGTACAAGGCTACAATGTACTTGCTCTGAGAGACTTATGACTGGGACATATTATTAACACATGGTTGGGCAGCGTGTACCTACAATGTATTCACTGTGAGAGACTCATGACTGGAACATATCATTAACACATGGATGGGAAGCCTGTATAAGGCTACAGTGTCTATGTTCTTGGGAGTCCCAATGCTTTTAACCAAAGCAAGCCAGGGTGCTATCATTTAAGAACAGTAAAACAATGCCCGTAGCTAGGTTTCTAGAACAGGCCACCATGTCATACTGTTATGAAAAGAACCCTGCAGTAAAGTACAAATGGTTGGTAAACTTAGATTTACACCCACCCTGGGTTGTCAAAAGTAGCAAGTTGCCGGTGAAAATTGCCGCCTACTTGATTAGTATTAGACGGCTACTCTGCTTGGCATTTCTTTACAGATGGTGTGATTAAAATAAAATGTCCCTGAACTGGCCACTTATTTTGACAACTCAGCCATCTACTTCAAAACTTTCTGACAACCATGCCCACCTTTAATGCAAGCATTTTTCTTGTATTAATTGAGGTGTCCTTGTCATCAGTAGAGGTCATTTCATCAGCTACCCTATAAGCAACAGAGGATTTAATAGAAAATTAATATCTAAAAAGATTATTCACGTAGTTAGAGTACACAGAAATGTTAACTTTTATATGTTGGCAGAGTAACAGCTGTGTAGCAGCTATAATTTAACACTAACCTGTCGTAATCTTTAGGATCACATATGACAGTCACCCGTGCATGATTCTTAGCAGCAGCTCTTAAAAGGGTAACACCACCTATAAGTTATTGAAAAACAGTTCTTTATTTCATATACCTTAGCAGCAGCTCTTAAAAGGGTAACACCACCTATAAATTATTGAAAAACAATTCTTTATTTCATATACCTTAGGCCAATGATGTGCTATCTCCTTTTATCTATCAGTGCTACATTTGAACATTTGCACAGTGAATCAACACCAGAAGATGCATGCACTGCAGGTTATAAGCTCTCTTATAGTCTCAGTATGTAAACGGGAAAAAAAAAGCTGAAATATGGCAGCATTTTTACCAATGTCAATTTCTTCCACGGCATCTTCCATTGTGCATCCTTCCTTTGAAATTGTTTTTACAAAAGGATACAAGTTACACACCACAATTCTGCAAAACATAATTCAGAAAGTCCCCGTAGATCAAGCCTTAATAACATGTTGATAGCAAATCATTTACAGTGTATAATGTTATTTTAATAAGAGTACTGTAGTCTGTAATATATGTTACCTGATATATTCATATCCTTGTTGTGTCATATCAGATTTATCAGCTTCAGTTAGTCTGGCAAGAATTCCTGAAATAAAAACCAGTTTGCATTTAAACTATCCATGTAAATATGTCGTACCGAATCCACACTGACATACCACATATAACTACAATCTAGACAACACGACAAATTTTTACATGATTCAAATATTAGCTAAACTAATTTTGTTCGCTCATTTCTATTCTTAACATTCAACGTTTATCCAGGATGGCAAGCTCAGCCCTGTAAGCTCAATTGGATAACTACTGGTCTGCCATACGGGAGGCCACTGGTTCAAACCCCGGACAGACTAACACTCAGGGTCTGAGGAGAAAGTGCTGCCTTTGTAAAGACATCTGCAAACACCTAGACTTTCTAGTACACTCAGATATGGACAATAAACTGTAGGCCGCATCTCACAATCTTTGCACAACTTAAAAATACTGTGGAATGTAAAAGAACCAACTGTTTGTAAAGAGTAAGGGATGTAGTCCTTGGTGTGGTGGCCTCTCTCATAGGGGAAGGACTGTTACAAGCTCGCATTATTTGGCACTATGCTCTTGTGGTGACCCTGCAAAGAACTGGCAAACCTAAATAAATAAATAAATAAAAGCAGAGAGGGCACCTCCATGAACAGCGGGGTGTAGAGTCTTCACCCTTCCTCCCAACATCTCAGGGGCACCAGTTACACTGGAAACATCTCTGAAAGAAAAGTGTACAGTTTTGCAATACTAGACATGTGATAGACATACCCCCATAACGAACATGATCCTAGATAAAAAGTGGGAACAGTATAAGAGGTAAAAATAATCATTCAACCTTAGAAAAGATAAAAAAGATCTTTAACTATTGGTGACATGTCATGAAGTTATTAGTAAAACATGATTAGCAGTGAAAAGTTTTTTACCCAACGGTAATGTCAGCAGATCGGAGTTTCTTAGCTGTTCCTCCAGATGCAATCAATTTGAATCCCAGCTCGTGAAGTTTTTTGCCAAATTCCACAAGTCCCTCTTTATTGGAGACACTAAGAATTGCTGTGTAAGGAAATATTACATATGTTAATAAAGTAAAAAGAAGGTCTGTAACCGGGTTTTTCAATCTCATCATCCCTACCCAAATTTTTGCTCAGTTTAGTAAATCTGATGGTTGTTTTCGACATCCCACATCCCATGCATACTTTCACTCCCGAATCTTGTCCCCACTTTGCTTTAAAAATGCCAAATCCTGGCCTTTAGAAAAGAAATATACCACATCCCAAAAAACCTATTCGGGACCCTATAACAAGGAGGTTTGAACATATCTCAAGCACCTTGTGGTATAACAACAATAGGTTTTTAATATGTCCATTAAATGGAGGTGAGATCATTATTACATTTATAAAAATGGACTTATGGTCATTGGATTCTGAATTTTGAGTGGCTAACCAGAATTACCCCCTTAATGACTTCTCTCATAATAGTAGACTTTCTGTTGTGCTTGAGGATCTGAACTGGCAATCATTAGAGCGGTATACGTGCCATCTGACAATCTTTTCAGAGTACGTATCATCCATAATTATTGTTATTCTAATTTCATTTTGTTCTTAACAGTTTTTGTGTATTAAATTCCTTTGAAACAGTTCAGTGTAAAATTCAATTGTATTAATTTCACTGTTCAGCTAGCCGTTGATCAATAATGCCAGTTAAAGTAAAGTTAACTAAGTTATCCACTTAGTTTTTAATCAGTTTTCAGTTGATTTCTTGAATTTAAACCATTTAAGCATACTACTAGCAATGTTAAGTAATTCGAACAGATTCTTTGATTGTGACTATCGACATGGCTCTCCTTCCCTCGAGACACCTGCCTCAAACAATTCTACCTCTTGCTACAATCCAGGTAACAATTACTTCTAAGATGCGCCACTTGATTTGGTTCAAACTGGTAAGAGAAAAACCTTCACAAACCTAACTTTCCTGCATCAGATGTAGCCATCTTGAAAAGATAACTCACGTGGACAGCATCGATTCTTATTGGTTGCAAACTTCCCGCCAAGCAGAGCTGTAAGGGGAGCTGTAATTTATTCATTTCCATATTTGGTGGCTCGACCGTTTTGGTATGGAACATGGCCGCCGTGTTTACACTACCTGACGGGCTTGCAATTTGCAAACAACGAACAGTATTATTACTTTAAACTCACTGTCGATTGACCCAATCATGATGGCTAAGGTAAGTATTTGTAATTAAATTACGCTTATTCTTTCAATACTGGAGTGTTGAGCATTTGGGGGTTTGCGTAAGTTTTTAACTTTGGCATGTTTATGTGAAGCAACAGCTGGAAGCAAGCTGTTCTTACACTAAAGATCAAGTGACATTCGATTTCATTCATTAATCGTCTTTTGGATTAGAAAGATTTACACAATATGCATACCTTTACTCAGTCGAAACAGCTTGACTGAAGTTTCACTGAGGTGGATATTGATACACGTACATGTACATACTCACTGTTTACAAACAATGTCTTTGTAATTCAATTGTAAAGCCAGTGAAACAGAAGAACTTTCTTTAACAACCAATGCGCTTCTGGTTAACACATTAGTAATAGTGGATGACATCAGCATGAGTATCACTATATTACTGGTATTACCCAATTTCATACCATGAGGGTACTGGGAACAAGCGTTTATATAACGGGATTATCAACACATGCAGGCCCTAGATACAGTCGAACCTCCATTAAACAGCAGCCACTGTTGGGATCCCGGCCACCTAATGATAGTTGGCCGTTCAATAGAGGTGCGTCAAAAAGTAGCATAGTCGTAACTGAAAAATCACTTTATTTGAAGCAAACGCACATCAGTAGAAGCATAATTGGTCCACAATCAGTTGTCACCTACTATTTCGGACTGTATTTTCATTCATCATATTCTTAAAATGAAGCCAAACTAAGAGTATCAGGCGCTTGATGGCCACTTAATAGAGGTGGCCGCTTAACAGAGGTGATATACAACGGGAGAACTGTTGTTGGAATGGCCAAAAGGTGGCCACAGCCACTTTAATAAAGAGGTACATTTCCCATCCTTTTCTACAATTATTTCAGGACTTTGATTACTGGCTGCTTAATAGAGGTGGCCACTTAATGGAGGTTCAACTGTGGTCAGCAATTGACTTGTCACAAGTTGGAACTCACAAGATTCATGTAACAGAAAGCAAGTGGAACAGGCTTCTTAGACTGTGAAGCAACAGAGCAAGCATCAAAGTTCCAAGAGTTCTTAGTCCCCTAGGCCATATTAAATAACATGAAGGACTTTTCCAAAAGTCTGTGTCAAAAAGAGGATACCAAGCTTTGCAATATGCCCAAGTTTGGTGTCATTCAGGCCAATATTGAATAAGATACAGTCATTCAAAACATTGTTAAAAATCTACTTTGAAATGTACTGATTGTCAGTTGCTTGAACATTTTTACTTCCTGTGCATGCACTTATCATTGGGTTGCCTTGATATTTGTTTGTCACAATTATTTTGAGCAAGCATACTTCCAGTAGTTATACTTCAACTCTCCCTTGTCTTTGCCTTCCAGAGTAGAGGGATGGCAAAATATATGAGTAATATTACAAAAATATTTGCAAATCTTGACAGGTTTGATTTCATTCAATTTGTCAACAGAAGGAAGACACTGACATGTTGGCATCAGGTGGGTCATTCTAAGATCCTTTTGCTAGCCTGTACATGCCGATGTATTTGTGTCATTTTTATTGTTAAAGTACTGCAAAAGGTTAAAACAACCAAAAGAGTAAGTTAAAGGGAAAGATGATATTTCATTTTATGGATTATGCAGATGACCATGGACTATAACATTTTTTTGTAACAAATATGCAAACACATATGACTTGCTTCTTGCTCAAGAGACTTTTGTAGAAAGAGCTGCTTTGGGTAGTTTAATATTCTTTTACACTTTCATGTTTTCAAAACAAAATGTATGGCAAAATATCTTTCAACGTAGTTTGATTCTCAGTTTCCTTTGTCTCTTCAAATTCAAACTACAATAGGTAGAAAATAATCAAACCAGACTTTTATATTAAACTACACAATCGTGTACAACAGACCAAACTAATTTTTCAATCTAACAGATGTTGCAGTAATAGGGTATTTGCTTCTTGCATTATTTTAATTCTAGATACTGAAGAGAGCGAGGAAACTCCTAAGACAGTAAGTGTGTTCATGCTCACACCACAGATAATTTGTTTTTTTATTTCTTTTTCATCTGTCTAGATTTTTGACATTTTATGCATTATTAATTTGTAACCTTAAAATTTGAGTTGGACATAAAATATCTTATTACTGGTATCAATATGGTATCTAGATTCATTGGTAGGATAGAGAGTTTTTGTATCCTTTGTAGGCGGGAGTCATAGCTGAATGGAGTGAAGTCAATCGCAAACTACGACATCATGGTTTCCAACCCGTTATGGTGTTACCATCCAGCAGATTGCAACATCTTCCTGGTGGTAAGAAAACTATAATTTTGAATGTGTCTTTTAATGCTGGTCTGGTGTCTTTGTGCTAGGAATGTGCCAAAATTCATGTACACAGGGTTCAATAGGACTTGAAGTAGGTGTCTGCTCAACCTTCATTAGGCAGCTGTGACAAATGGTGGGGTCGTAAACTAGGGGGGGGGGGGGGGTGTGGGAAGGGGGGGGGGGGGGGGGGTCTGAGACATGTTCCCAAAGAAAATTTTTAAATATATGGAAGCTCTGAGATGCAATATATTTGAAGCCACTTTGGGTATCAACTTCAATATTACAGAATAACTACACAACACGTTCTGTTGACTAGTTTTAAAAGTTTTATCAGAGGAACAAACTTTCCACTTTAGGTAAATGTAAAGGAAAAAAGTCTTGTCACTTGGTTATTGTTAGTGCCAACTTGCAAGCTAGTTATTGTTAGTGTCAGCTTGTTAGCTAGTAGTTATTGTTAGTGTCAGCTTGTAAGTACTGTTTAGAGTATTGCCTCTATGTAATTTTCTGTCTGTAAGTACCTGTTTTTGTTACGATTGCAACAAAAAAAATAATAACAAAAATAAGAAAGGTTAGCTCATAATAACGAATGTGTTTCAATACCAAGGCATAGTAGCATTTAAAATGTACCTTTAGCCTTCTTGGCATTGTCCTTGAATTGACTGAAACCAACAAAACTTAGCGTTTTTTTCCATTTGGCTGCCATTACTATTGCAAACTGTGTAGCACTGGAATTGAGTATCACATGACCATGTTTTACTGTGAAGGGCTGGGCCAAAGTGAATGTCCCATACCCAGAAGTATATGCAGTTGAAAACATGGTGGTTGTCAAGTACGGGAGCAACAGCAGGCACTCTTGTTTGGTCTCAATTGTTTAGATTATTTTGTACAGTATATCCAGGGATGTCCTTAAGAGTAAGGTGCCGGCTAATTTCTCCGGCTGAAAAAGAGCTTATCACCAGCTCAAATTGAAAGGAAAACAAAGACGTGGGAATTTTAGCGATGAAAATGAGTAAAACAGCCAGCTTGACTAACCAAAAAGCCTGCTTATCATTTTCTTAGCTTCATCCCTGTATATCACAAAGAAAACTCAAAATCAGATGAAAGGGATAGGTAGAAGACCTGAGCACAAACGAACAAGACAGGGTTGTCAATAGTAGCCGGCTACCAACGAAAATCGCCACCAACTTGGTTAGTATTGGCCGGCTACTCTACTTGGCATTTCTTTACCGATGGCATTTTTAATTTCCCTGGTCTACTTCAAAACGTTCTGACAACCCTGGTAAGAGAAAAGCAGCAAATAAACTGCAAAGTAAGGAGCTACAAATTCCAAAGTAGGCAGCAATCAGTCACCGGGTGCTGGCTTCTATTGAGAAGCCTGTGTACAGATCAAAACAGAATTTTTAAATATCACAAAAACTGTATTGCTGGTATAACTTTTTCACTCTTTATCCACGCAATGCACTCAGTTCTTGTACATATAAAAAAGGTTATGCACATGTAAACCAGCCTTAAATTGGCAAACGTATCATGGCCCCAAGAGCTTGCTGAAAATTATGATTCTACAGTTGCGCTTGACCCCAAAACACACTTTTGGGATCAAGAAGTTCACAGCTCATCATTCTGTTATCATTAAACACCAGTCAGAGTGCATCTAAGAGTTTTGTAGTAATACTTTTGTACATTCTTGTCTTTCCTTAAGCCCACCTCAAATAGCTTGTGGCTAACTGTGGGTTCTCAAGTATTGTGTGACTGTATAAGTTAGACAATAAAGTTTGTTTGCCTGTTGTTGTTGTTCCTCTTTATCATATCATAGGTCCTTTTGAAAACTTCCATTCTATTGTGAACCCTGTTGTGAAATTATGTATTGCTAACATAAAAAATATCAATGATTTTTGTTCTAGTTAATAAAAAGATGTTCAAAGAAATGTATCTCCTTATTTTTCCAGAAGCTGTTGTGTTGGAGGAGTTTACATCCAAGAATTTGCGGCACACATTGGACAAACTGATGACTGACTGTGATAGACGACAGTCAATGGTGCAGGAACTTATCTCTTCTTCTCACAGAATACAGTTAGTACTTTTCGCATTTCAATGATATTGTCACACCAAACTTGCACAAGTGCACGTACAGCTGTACAAACACACTGTATACAGTAGTCCATCTCTATAAAATAGGGGAAATCTTCAGTGAATAAGGACCTCCAGGTATTAATGATTTTCTCCTGACCGCAAGTTCGGTAGCTTGAGAGTTCGGTAGCTTGAGAAAACAGCTGACATTTTATGATGCCACCACTGGTTTCCCACCGAATGACACCCAAGGAGTGAGAGCAGAAATTCCATACTGATGATATACATGTCACTTCTCAAGGTCTTTGTAGTGCTGGTAGTGATTGGTTGTGCTGGTACAAAAATTTGCTTCAACCCATCAGAAGCTTTCACTTATGCTACAAATTCATGCAATTTCAACTGGACGTGTATGTCAGTTTAATATATTTTAATAAACAAAACTCAAAGTACAAGTACAAATTAAATTGCAGGTCTAACTTGGGTTAGTCAAGTTAGGGATACATGTTACAGCTGATCTTTATCATGCCCAGCGGGCAGATAAGCCCAGAATTGTTTGACGTTAAAATAAACATGCTCATATTGATTTTACATGTTTATACACTGTCCATTTGCATTTGGAGCAGACGTTTGAAACTATATTAATTTGAGGAAATGAAGCTTGATTCAAATGTCCTTGAAGAAACATTCACTTTAATTGGTCTTGCTTCGATCTTAACCACACAGTGGCTTGCGCAAATAAACCATGTTGTGTCGTATATGTCAATGTAAAATTATTGAGAAATCAGTCATGGGTGAGTCTTTTGTTTTCTGTCTCATGAGACTTGATCCTTGACTTGGTTCTCTATAACTTGTTCTCGATTCTCCCTTCGCATGGGAATCAAGAACCAAGAATCAAGACACGCAACAGACTGTCAACTTACTGCAGTGTAAAACTTCTGACCAACTGGGGATTTTTGAAGACACATATTACATTTATCTCAAACCTTTCCCCAAGGCTATTTTAAAAAGGCATGTTCTCAGTTAGATGGGTGTGGCTGTTCAACACCACTGAATTAAAACAATATATGATTGATGTATAATTTAGGAATGCTTAGTTATTAATTGTCTGTTAAATGAAATACAGTTCCAACAGCACTGATAGTGACTACTGTGCATGTATAAGGTTTCTAGTAAGTGCCTTTTATACAAAAATATTTGTTGTATATTAATAGCAGGAGTATGAATCTCTTTTGATTCTTTCTTGATTCCTTAGGAGAGATGCTGATGAAGAAAGGAATCGAGTTTATCGTTTTGAAATGGAGGTGTGTTGTGTGAAGCAAAACGTGCGATGTACAATAAGTATCAACCATTGTTGAGTCAACATTAACTTTTTTGCATAGTCTTCAACCTGCAAAGAAAGCCAAAATATGAGTAGTAGTACTGTGTGTATTGTCCCATTTTGCTGTTGACTGATCAGTTTTGATTCAGTTGAAATATTTATTGTTCCTTCTGAAAACCAAAAAAATTAGAGTTTTTAAACTCACTGTCACAAAAGACAGCAGTAAACTTCCTTTAAGAAGAGACGATTGAATAGGGACTGTGAAATTCCTTTTTTACAGATAAGAAACCTTCAAAGAGAGCTAGAAGAGGAGAAGCTTAAAACTCAGGTTAGAAGTCGTTTACTAGATATATAGCTAACTGTTATACTCTTCTTTATAATACCCATTTTTGCAGTAATATATGGACCACAGTTCTTGGCAGTGGGGTGGGTTATCAGTCAAGAGAGTATCCTTGGATTGCTTACTACATGTAGAAAACAAATGAGTATGTGTTAGTGGCTTGGATCTAAGGAAGGTATTGAGACACCTTGGTGAAATGTAAAAATGTTTTCTCAAGAAAAAGTGATTTTGAATTTGAGCTCTTTTTAAAAGTTTTTGGAAGGGATTCAGAAAGTTTGATGGTAGATACCCAGTGAGGTTCACAGAGGGTCTGTATAAGTTAATAAGGAGATCAAAGTTCAATTTAAGGATCAACACTGAGTACTTTGTAGGCAACTTTGTAGGCTGGTGCTTTCTACTTAAAGTAAATTATTATTATTCTAATATTAACCCTAAAAAAAATTAAGTGTACAGGATAGGGATACAGTGGAATATTTCAATGCCTTGAAGCAATCAATGGAGAATGACATACTTTGAGTTAATCAAAGGTTTAAGCCAATGAATTCATGATTGATGAATGTGATGACAGTAATGTTTTACTTTACTTGTAGGAGATGGAGAGAGTACGTCTTGTTGAACTTCAGCATCATGGAGAGGAAGTGCAAGAGTTGAAAAGAAGCAAAGCCGAACTTGCTGCATTACATGGACAACTGGAGCATAAAGTATCTCAGAAAGAAGCAGAAATAACAAGGCTGCAACGCGAATATCAAGAGCTTATCCAGGTTTGGGTGTAGACTTATCATACATTAGCCTATCAATAGGAAAGGATAGGCATCTCTTTTAAAATCTTGGTTCCTTTCAACCACATATAATAAGTGTTTTTTTGTTACTGTTCTGACTTATGTGACCTTCCATACAGTGCCTCTCAATTAAGGCAACAAATAATATAATCTTTTAATAAATACAGCTGTAGATGTGACAATAGTGCATGAAAACAATGACAAGTCCCACGACAGTTAAGCATTGCTCCATCAACATTTTTTCAGCACCTAAGGGACTGGTCATTATGTATGTAGAGGGGGGAGGGAAAAAGATGTTCGAATGATCAAAATTTCTGTAAGGCCCCCCCTGTGGACCATGTAAATAGCAAGTGACCCCCTGTCTTTATTCAATATTTACGTGATGACCCCCCCACCACCACCACCTCATATCTCCTGTTACATGCTCTACAAAGTAATTATTAAAATGCATGTAACAATACTTTGTTAAGAGTGAAGACTTATCGGTAAATGGTACTAATCATAAGATGATTAGTTACTTTGCATAACAACGGAACTAACCTACTCTATTACAAAATCAGCCTATATATATATGAAAAGTGATAGATTTTTACAAATCGTGCCTTCATGGTGAACACAAACGTAATAACCATGCAAAATATAACTCTTTTCAAATGATTTTCCTACAGTTGTAAAAGGACTACTTTCTTGTTGTGTCATCATGTTTTTCTTGGGGTCTCCATACTGAAGTGACACAAGCATTTCATTAACAGAAAATTCAGTCAAACCAAATATTAAAGTACATAGGTCTGGATTCTTATTAGCTAAAATTTGAAATAAAAATGAAGTTTAGAGTGCAAACAGAATTTCTGTCACATACAAATGACCAAGTTGTACAAAATAATGATGCTTTAAATAGACAGAAAGCAATAGGATTAGCATAAAATTGTACAATTTAGCATTACTGTTTGACAAGTATTGTTTGTGCTCTACTATTTAACTGCTTTACCCATATTGGCCAATGGACCCCTCTTAAAATAAACCTGGCGATCAAACTGCTGACCCCCCTATACTTCTTTATGAAAAAGTTTAGCCCCCCCCCCCGCCCACCCATAAAAACCCCTGTCCCCCCCCCCCCCCACCCCCCCCCCCCATTTTCCCCCTTCTCCCCCCCCCCATCACAAACACCACCCCCTCCAAACACACACGACCAATACTCACTTTCTCTCGACAACTCTCTCGACCAACACGCTAATTACACTAATTGGCAGACGTCCTTCGTTTAGCAGTTCCCGGCCGACAAACTGCGCACCCCCCATCACTGTTCTATTGGAAGTGTTTACCCCCCCCCTTGCGCTATAAAAAATAGCCTTGTCCCCCCCCCCCCCGCCACCCCCTTCTTTTTGTCCCTCTTCTCACCCTCTGCATAAATAGTGACCGGTCCCTAAAATTAAGCTGGAAAGTATGTTATCTTCTGCATACAATTTGCTAGAATAGATGTGTTAAAATGATAATTTCCCTTCTCTTATTAAAATACTTCAAGGAGGGAAGAAAGGTCAGGAGTCGAAGCAAACTAAGCAAATATAATTCTCCATACAGGCATGATACTACAGATCAAAGGTATGAGGTAACAACATGGAAATTTGAGATTGTTCGCAATTTGTCAGAGTTTGTTTTTTAAGTAGTTTTGCATCTTAAGTTTTAAATATTTTGTTCACTTACAGTGTAACTTTTTGATGTTGTTGAATATGATCGACAGCTATGAATCCCAACTCAGTAGAGTTCAGCAAGAGGTTGGTCACTTGGAAAAGAAAACAGAAATGCACAGCAAGCCTTCAAGTGTTGATAGTTTTGATGATCAGAGGTCAACATCTCAGTCTGACAGCAATGGGGACTCAGTTTCCCAAAAAGGAGCAATTACACAAAGAGTGGGCAGCAGTGCTTATACACCAAAAAGAAGTGAAGTTGAACTAGCAGTAAGATTCTGGCTGTTACATCGATATTAATCACAGTACAGCCTAACTTACCTTAGCATCCATACTTTTGGTCAATGTGCCTTAACCTGCGGGCATAACAAAGTATTTCACAGTACACAGACAAGTTAAGGAAAGGATGTGCGTACAGTGTATTGTACATTGTATCAGTAATGATTACATGCAATGTCAATTAATGACTCGTCATTCGTCACCAAGCATCATTATTGTACAGTACTCAGAGAGTACCAGGTGTTATGGGAAGGATGTGCATATTCATTACATCCTATTAGATAAGATGCAAGGCCACATAAATGTAACTCTTGGGTTACATCTAAAAGGTGAAAGCTTTCTTGCAGTACCATTCTGATATGGAAAAAAAAGTTGGGCTTTTTATCCTCTCACACTCTATGTTTTCTTAAAGAACCAGTAAAGAGAATTCAATAATGTTTCAGTACATTGTAAGACTGAGTTGGTGGATTTGTCATGAATTTGTCCTTCTTGTCTTATTTTTATAGACTTTAGAGAAACAGCTGAGAGAATCTAAAAAGTTGATTAAGCTTTTGGAGAGTGAGAACACACATCTAAAGATGGAGTTAGAATCAAGGTTTTGTGCTATTGATTTGCACCAGTGTGTTATATGATAATAATCTAAGCTTAATAGGAATATATTATACCTACCATCAAACCTGAACAGTGAGAATGTGACTGCCAAATTTCTCTTCCACAAGCACTTAGATGCAAAGGACAGAGGTTATTGTTAAGTTCACCCTTTCTCTCATATTAATTGTACGTTAATTGCATTTCAATGACTACAGTCTTTTAAATTTGTTAAATAGACATTAGAAAAAAAGGATATCCCCTATTAGTAATGGTGTAACGATTAATCAAAGTCTTGATTAATCATGATTATGACCGTTTGGTTCGATTCACGATTCTTTGCATCCACATTTCAATTTTGGTTCGATTTTTGCATACCTTTTCCAGGGTGCCCTCAATGAGTTATTAAATAGTAAAATCAGAATTCAGAACTGTGTAAAATGTGTGTTTTTAATTGACAAGGAAAGACGATAGCAGCTCGTCTGCCGTTTTGTGTGGCCTGGTAAAAATGCTGTCCTTCAACCACCCCTTGAGAATTTCCAAATACGGCAAACCACGTGCAACACCCTCTTTGTCAGGTTCTCAAACATGGCAACGAACCAAGTGACTGTGAATCCTCCTGTCCCTGTTACTATTCTCCAATTGAGGGTTTAGAGTTACATGTTGTTAACCTTATGCGTTATGTTATAAGAGTTAAGAAACATTTACATAATAGAATCAAAATAATCTAAATCGAAGGGCAGTAATTGAAATCCAATCAAATCGCAAGGAATATGAATTGTTACACCCCTACCTGTTGGTATGGATTTTAACTCTTTGGGCGGTTATTTAAGTTGTAGTTTAAGACAATTGTTGATCATCCATATATTTTTATAAAGTTCCTCCATTTAAGTTCATTTCGTTCTTTACAGCTGCTTGATGCTGTTTAAGCAAAGTAGTGTTTTATATGTTGCCGTTGGTCAAACTGAATATGAATTAAAAGTCACCTTTTTTGGTTGACCTTGAGATGATTGCCGTGTATGCATGGACAAAACCAAAGCCTTTAGCTGATAAAATAAATAATGAGCATTAACAGAAACCATTTTCAAGGCAATATGAAAATCCCTGAACAATGTATAAACTCTTTGTTAAAATTTTTGGCACTGCAACCCACATGGCAATCAAGTTAATCTCTTGTATAAAATGGCAGTATCATTGTTTTCTTGTATTAGACCTAATCGAGATCAGTGGAAGAACGCAAGGAAATACAACAAAAAGTTGGAAAAAATTCTTGCTGAGAACAATCTCAGGTGATCATTGAAGTGTTAAATATTTTTGTAATTTTTTTCACTTCCCCATTTTTTGCACTGTAAGTTTTGTCACTCTCAGTTTATTATGTTTCTGTCAAAGGCAATCCATTTATGTGGCTTTGTTATGTACAAAATAAGGCTTAGAAGTGGCTGAGTTTCTGACCGAGATTTTCTTGAACCATTAATTTAAACTAACAAAGAAGTCTCATGTAAAGAGCATAACATATTAATACTGTTCATGTTTATAAGACTTGCTTATGGCTTCCCCCTAGTCCCCATAGGTTTATGAAGACTACTCCCTCAGCTCATCAATGTGGCTGAGTACTTTCCTCAAGCCAAAAATACCAACTAGAAGCAAAGTTCTGTCTTTATAGCCTGAAATGCTTTTTCTAGCTCTTATCAGATTATTAAGGTTCCTGTTGTCAGTTCATCATGGTGAACTGCACTGTACCTTTGCTTAACAACCCTTGTGTACAGTTCAGTTCTGCAAACTATGATTGTAAGATCAGTAGTCTGCAGCTCCACATGGGCTATCACACTCTGTCAGCTAAGTTATTTTCACCATCCTAATAACCCTAGAATTTCTGCTAAGGTCATTCTTACCTCTTGTATTTACTAGGTGGGCACCCAATATATCACCAAATTATCCCTTTCCAAAAATGTGTTTTGATAGTTTTAATTTTAAGGTGTCTTTTTTCTTTTAATTTTCTAGTCCTCCACGGAAGATGAAGCAAAAAGAAAAAAGGGCCATGGAAACTGAAGCAAAACCTTCCTCAAAACCACAGAGATACCGCACAAATGTAAGACCTAAACTCATAGTTAGCTCTTTTTAAATGTTTCTAGTACAACTTTATGTTTCCTGGAAGTAATTAATCAAATTGATTTCTAGACATAAAGCTGAATTAGTACACAATGTTACGGATTATGATTAATTATTTTTTGGTAATAACATGGTTGCCAGAGGTAAGGAAATGGTCAGGGAAAAAAATTCTTCAGGGGAAAAGTCAGGGCATTTCACTTCAAGTCAGGGAGAAATGAAATTTTAAGAGTACATACTTCTTTTCCCTCCACTTGTATTGTTTGTAACATTTAAAATTCTCTTTTACATTTTGCGGACATGAATTGTGTTGTATGTAATTGGTGTAATATCAATACTAATTTTTGAAATTGTTTATTCCATTGGTCAGGGAAATTTTATATTTGTCAGGAAAAACGTCAGAGAATTTCAGAAAACTCTGGCTGTGGCAATCATGAATAACTTCTGTTTAATTTCCTTTAACTTCTTTATGGTTTCAACCATTTGAAATTTCAGCTGTATCAAAGATGACCTATATGCCCTTTAAAAGATTCATAGTTTTCCATACAGTTTTCATGAAAAAAGAATTATTTGCACATCTTATGTTATCTGTTTTTGGGTTAGAATAATATTATTATTAGTTGAAGGGATTGCTTGTTTCAGACATATGCAAGTATTCATACACAAATGGCTTCTTTTCCTGTAGATTGAAGACATTGATTTTCTACCAATTGATGTTTGTCGAGAGTATTTGAAGGTATTTTCTACATATCTGCTGCTTAACCTGGATAAGAAAACCAGCTTGTGATCCATTACAGCTGATTTCAGTGCGGAGAACAGAAAAAAAATTTAAAGGAAAATAGATATGCAATCACAGTTAGGAAATTATTTTAAGGGTTCATGTTATAATACAACAATATTGTATTTTGAGTGGTGATCTGCATATATGTCCTTTCAAAAATTATCAGGACTCATGTTATATATTGCTTATTTTATTCTTAGGAAGTGTGCGGCATACTTGAGATTAATAACCTTCAAGGCATGGAAGACAAAGTAAACTCTTTGAAGTTGCCTGCACAGTCTTATCCTGCAATGGAAAAGGTTTGTTTGTCTGGTGGTGATAAAAATGTGTACATGTGAGGACATTATTTTAGGCACTGATGAGAAACCTCTCTTGAAATAAAAAGTTTTAAAAACGGTGGTCTTTGGAATTTAAACAGTTTAAACAGGAATACATAGTATCCATTAACAATTGACCTGTCACTTGGTTATCACTTGTATTTTTATGCCAACTTTTACTGCTTTATAACAGCAATCTTTTTTTTTTCCTCTGTTAGCTGATAAGAAATATCATGGAGTTACTCAGTTCAAAGGATTGCCCCAGCGCCATGTTATCTGAAGACATTCTTTCCCAGAGTTCACATGAGTTTCACTGCGAAAGGGCGTGGCAGAATATTGTTCCTGTTCTCAGGAAGTGGCTGAATGAACTTACAGGTCTCAAGGCAAGTTAAGGCTATACTATCTTCATTTACAATTCCAGCTAGACTTGAGAGATTAAAAGCTGCCCTGATAAGTCTGTCTGTAAATTCTCTCTGAGGAAATCGCCTTCGCATTGTTGCTTTTTAGACAGCCATATTCCACTATAGACCTTTGAGTCAGTTAATTTGATTAATTTTTTTATCATTTATAGAGCTTTTTGTAGGGTTGAGCTGCTCGCTCTCAGATAAGATCTTGAATGGGCTTTCATAACATCTGAAGAATTATGGAGATCGAGGAGGGTGTTATCCGCCTCGGCCGTCATACTCAGTGTCATTCAATACCCTCTGAAATACAAGCTGTTTACACATGGTTTAAATTAGAGGACACAACCTATTGTTTTCTTTATTTATAATTTGAAAGGTTATTTATAGTGATCCAACTGGCAAGGTTGAAGGTACAGAAGAAACCTTGTTAATACGGACACAAACAGGACATGCCAAAGTATCCATTATCTGGGTGTCCATCTTAAGCAGGTTAATTTTAGAGAAAATATATGAGGTTTTTTGAACAGTGTTGGGACAAACGAACTGTCCGTATTATTATACACGGGTGTCCATAGAGCAAGGTTCCACTGCATTAATTTTTATACCTTACAACAAAGTTTTATTGTTTTCATAAACAGTGCCTTTTGTTGTAAGAATGTTTTCTTTTAAAGCATTGACTGTATTACCCTGTTACGGCGGCCTAGGTACTTTGAAGCTTTGGAAAAAGTATACAATGTAGTCTCATCTTTTAAGAAGAGACTACATATTAACCACTCCACAAGGAAACTAATCCAGTGAACACTGTTTCATCTTTTATAGGATCTAGAAATGTCAATCAGACAGCTGTCATCACACTTAATGCCATGGAAACAAGCAGGCGTGTTTCAAGGAGACCACAAGGGATATTCAAGAGTACACAGGCTCAAAGAAGCAGTTGATGCTCTTTGTCAGGAAAAACGAGCCAGTCCTTCAGAAATACAAACAGACCAGGAGCCATCATTTGATCATCTTAAGAGCATTGTTGCTCACTTTCAAAAGCTATTTGATGTTTATAGCATTGAAGGAATATTTCCACGGATGAATGAAATATATATGCAACTTGGGGAGACATACAATTCAATGAATAACATGCGGGACCTTCTTGGTTTGGGTAAAAATATTTCCCACTTATTTCTATTTTCTGTCTTAGCATCCTCTCTCTTCTTTTTGCCCAGGTTATTCACACATTAGATAGTGCTATCCACTGGGTTAAACACTATCTAACAGGCCCTGCTTGTTCAAACGTTGTATGACGCCGTCCACCGGACAAAAAACTAATTATGTTATCCACTGGCTAGTGATTTACCCAGTTGATAGTGTTATTCACCTTTTGAACAACTGAAGCCAGATCAATGGGTAGAAATTTTTCATGTGGATGTGATAGAATTATCCTCCTTTTGAACAACTGGAACTTGTTTAGTAATGATATGCTGTATTTTACTTTTCAAAAGTCACCTAAATTGTATGTTGCAAGAAAATTAGCCTGCCTACTTAAAATTTTCTCTCATCTGTAGCAAACCAAAATATTGTCATTTTTCCTTTTTTGTTTGTTTACGTGTTTAGATCTCCTTATTAGAAAACAGTTTGGAATAGGTTGCACAAGTTACATGGAGAGTTTTCTTTTCTTTTTTAGAACCAACTTGCAAATCATCTGATGTGGTCAATGCAGTTGCTAAGCTTAGTAAAGCCAAACATCTGCTGATGGTTGAAGACTTGCCTGGGTAAACCTCCTCATACAGATAGAAATAATGGAGTTACTGTCTTCAGTGTCGCTAAGAAATAGTGTTTTCAACAGGAGGCTGTGTATGAGCTGAAACTTACATTACACTAAAAATTACCATGTGCATTTTAAGGGAAATTCAAAATATGGTTTGCACAAAGGTTGTGACAGTAGCATGTTCTCAGCTGGTTTCAAGATTGCCAAAAGGATTTGGTGCTACATCCTTCGATTTATTACTATGTAGGTGATTAGGTGTAATAGCTTTTGTTGATGACTCAAGACATCAGTCACTGGCCCCTAAGTAAAGGGCTCACTGAGTACAACGATTATAATATTCATAAACATAATGTTGGTTAAGTTTCACTGTACTGTGTCCTTTTGTGATCTTATTTCTCTTTTTTCAGCATAATCAAACGTCTGGATCAGTATGATGAGTTCTTTCCAGCTTTCCAATCTCTTGTATCTGAACTGAAGAGGCTTTTAAGTGAGTGCCTTTGTATTCATAGTTATTGTGTCTTATACTGAGGCATTGCTATTGCTGTAATCAAATGTGGGAGCTGCGTGAGGAGTCTGATGATCAGTCAGATACACAGGGGCCCCACTCACATATTTTAATGACGGGGGGGTCCGAAGGATTATTTTTGGCCTGACATTTTGGCCAAAAGGGATTTTTTGGGGTCTATGAAAGACGCCGGGATTTTTTGGGGTCGCGAGAACAACACAGGGATTTTTTTTGGGTATTGTATTTTTCATCAGCTCAAATCAAAAATAACATAAGCGCAATTTATAGTTTTGCTTTTGACCAAAACCAAAGTTGAAGTTGGCATGTTTCAGCTTTGCAGAAGATAAATAATAAAATTTGCTGATGCAAAAACACTGAGGGATTTTTTTGGGTATGCTAAAAAAGTAGGGATTTTTTTGGGTAGACAAATTCTGAAGTTGGGATTTTTTTGGGTGTAAAATATGAACCTCTGTCAGACCCCCCTGTCATTAAAATATGTGAGTGGGGCCCCTGGGGTCAGATACCTTATTACATGAAATTTTTGCAACACATTAATAATTTAGCGATTTTGAAAAATCCTTATTTAGCGGCACATTTTTAGCAATTTTTTTCATAAATTTTGGCACATAAGTCACTAAATCTTCACGATTTCACTATCTAACTGAAACTGAAACATTTCTCACTGACGGACATAGTTGCTATGTTTGATTAGGAGTCAAGGGGATCCAGCCTCCTTCACACTGAGTATCACTTGTCTGACTGATCGTTTGATTCCTTACACAGTTCCTGTGTTTGATTAGGAGTCACAAGGATTCAACAAATCCAGCCTCCTTCACACTGAGTATCACTTGTCTGACTGATCGTTTGATTCCTTACACAGTTCCTGTGTTTGATTAGGAGTCACAAGGATTCAACAAATCCAGCCTCCTTCACACTGAGTATCACTTGTCTGACTGATCGTTTGATTCCTTACACAGTTCCTGTGTTTGATTAGGAGTCAAAAGGATTCAACAAATCCAGCCTCCTTCAGACTGAGCATCACTTGTCTGACTGATCATCACACTTCTTACAGGCAAAACACACAAACTTGCATTTGCCATGATCATCCCAGTATCATACAATTCTCCTCATGCTTTTGTTGTGTATACTTGTCTTCTATGTTATCCTTCAGTAAATGCTTTGATTTGCCTTCACAGGAGTTCAAGAGATGGACGAAATAATAACAGCTGTTACAGCACTTGTCAAGTTTCCTCCCTACTGATATTTTTAAAAGCAATTACTTTTTTATCTTTAAATGTTGTTTTATTTATTTTTATATTATCTTTAATCTTATTTGTGTGAAAGCTTAGCACCAAAAAATGTCTCCTTAAATAAATAAATAAAGTTTAATTTACAAAAATAAAAATTACTTGCATCTGTTTTATTCTGTTTGCTGCATGGCTGTCCTGCTTTGAAGGTACATTTATCCAGCTTTGAAAATATAATTATACCCTAGTTAAACAAGTGAAAGATATACAGCATTCTGCAGCACAGATTTTGAGGTAAAAGTCTGTTGTAGAAGATGATGCACAAGATGTGGCTTGCATGTCATAATTTTTCCACAAAGGAACAGAACGTTTTGATTCCACATTATGAAAAAACAAGTAATTATGCAGAGAGCTCATTTTGGTGGTTTTAATGGGGGGGAAAATGACAAAAACATTAACTTCATTGCTAGGTACTTTCCTTCCTTTCCCTTTCTCACACATCAATCCACTTTATTTCCCTTCCCCTTCAGATGCCTGCAATGCAGGCAAAGACTAGAGCCGGGATATCACATTACAAAGGTGGTTAAGTGATACAATTAATGGCATAAGCAACCATGCCAAAAGAATAGAGTGAAATTCTACGGAGGATTTATATTCTAGTCCCTGCAGAATACTCAGGGCTTCAAGTGTCCCTATAATTATTTCCTATATTTTTAAACTTTCCCAATATTTCCCTATTTAGTTTGTAAATGCCCTATAATCCCTGTAATTCCATCAGAAAAAAAAAAAATAGACTGAAGTTCATGAACTTCTGTTGGTGGAATGTGACAAAGACAGTGAATTTTTCAGACCATCCAAGACCAAACTGGTAATACGTTTATTATTAGTGCATGTAAGTGTACTTAATTTGATGCTGCTGTGAGCAGTGATTCTTTATTCAGATATTATAGAGTACTAAAGTGTGACGTCATAAAAATGAAATTTCTGAAATTATGGGATTTGTCAGGATATTCTGAAAGAACAATGTCCAAGAGGCCTACTTGCCAAAAATGAGCATTTGGGGACAAATTGTCTCTGAGATTGTAGCCCAGTTATGCTTACAAAACTCCATACAAACCCTTCTAAATTTTTTTTGGGTCGACCCAAAAAAAAGCATTTTCGAGCAAATTATACAAACTAAAACCTTTATCAAAAGGTTATTGAGTTGCAGTATCAAGGTTAATGCTTTAAAAGTGGTCAAATTCTGTCAGAAACAAAACCCACCAGAAATCGGCAGGTTTCAAACAAACCAGCTTCATGCCCTCTCAATGTGAGAAAAACTCCACAGCATGAGCTACCCGCAAGAAAATAAAAAGGGAGTTAAACATGAGGTTAAAGTTGTATAGGCATACCAATTTCACTGTTTCACCCAGAAAGAATTCGAACAGTTGCAAAACACAATAACAGCATTTTCAGCGTACTTCTTTAGGGTCAGTGTGTGTATTAATCTAGGTACATTTTTTGCGTGCTCAAAGTTAGTGACCTTATTCTCTACTAGTGTTCACAATGTTGGACTAAAATGTATTGTGTTCCTTACCTTCTGCAGAGTTGCAAAACTGGCACTGGATAAAATACGCTTTAAAAAATCCCTATATTTTCCCTATCATTTTACCATTTTCCCTATATTGGCCCTATATTTTTGAAAAATTGCCCCTATATTAAGCCCTATATTGTTGCTTAAGGCCACTTGAAGCCCTGAATACTTCTCTATTCTGAAAAATAGCAGGGCTTCAGCCACGATTGATCATATCTGGCTAAAAATGTTGAAAGCTCATATTTTTTTTTAGCATTTTTAGCCAGAATGGAGTGCTTGCCCAAAGGCTGAAAGCATTAGTCTTGAACAAAGTGAATTTAAGATGCTTAATAAAAAGAAGCACTTTATTCACTGAAACAGGGCTGGTAGAATACACAATGAAAAGTGATATCTACAAGAAAAATCAGCTCTTCATTGGTTCTGGTTGATCCACTTTGTGCCCATGCTTTTCCAATTCTGCCCTGAAAATAAAGGAAACCGATGAAATCAAGGCAAGTACCTCACCAGGGCTACTTCAACATTAAAACTGACGGAGTCAAAACTCACAGTCTGTTACACTGTGTTTAAGGTGTGAATGGATGGGTTCAGGTCACTCAGAGACTGACATCTGATATATTTTAAGTAGTGACTACTGAATTATGCTGATGCTCACTTATTTGTATTTGTACATACCTCAGCTGATTTGAAAAGTCATCCTCTACAGTATCATCATCCCAGTTGTCCTCCCACACATGCATATCAGCTTGGTCTTCATCTCCAGCCGTCCACTCTATTAACAGGGAAGAAATGAAATCTTTTCCTCCCTTCCTTGAAATGAGCCTTTGACACCCTTTGATGTCTTCATCAATTAAAATAATAAAATATAATCCTGGTAGCTGGTAATTATATTTTTAAGTAAGCTGATACAAACACTTTCTGTAGTGAAAAGTATGTGTGTTAAAAAAAATCTTATTGTCTTAAGTGGAAGGAAATAAAAGGATGAAATCATGATTTCGACAGACTAAAATAAAAATAGGTCTTAGTGTTCAAACCGAAAAATTCTAGATTACATAGTTTAATAAACCCTAAATTTGGTATGAGGTACATCATCCATGCCTAAAATTTGCCACAACAGCCAAAATAATAGTAATAATAATAATAGTTTATTGGTATCCCTCTCGCAGCCTAAAGGCTGAATTACAAGGAAGGTCGGTGACACTAACAGAAGACAATACAATACAAAAACAATCAAATAGAAAATTATGTAAATATGATTAAAAGCACTACATAACAGAGAAAAAATAACAAGCACAGGATTACAACTGGTCTTGAAACTTAACGGTGCAGAAATCTGCGAATCGCTTTGTCTTGGGAACAAGGAGCACCGGAACACATTCGCCTGAACGGAGGCAGTATGGCCTGTCAATTGACACATTTGACCAATAAATTAACAACCGACCCAATGACAGGGGACAATTTGGGGACATTTTACTTTCAAAATAAAGTCTCTGACCTAAAAGATAACAGACGTGACAATGACATGGCACTAATAATGCTGACCTGCGTATCCCTATAAAAGCACATGTTCAGTATCAGTGTTGCATTCTTTCTTTTTTCTATGTAAATGTAAACGTGTTGAGCAATGTTCTACGGAAATCTGACCCTCAAAACTCGTACTATATGTACCTTCAGTGGGAAACTCTTCAAATTCATCGTCTTCTTCCAGTAATCCCAAATCTGTTTTTTTGACTGTACCCGCCATCTTGAAATGTAAGTTTTGGTCAGTGAAACGTCATGTATGGCTCACGACATGTACCATGATTTTTTCTCGCTCCCCATACTAGCATTTGAGTATGAGTAGCCTGCGTAGCTGCGGGCGTAGCTGGCGGTATTGTGTAGTAGTCGACTGAGAGACGTAACACACATTTCTATTTTTTATTGAAATCCTTTCATTTTCTTAGGTTACAGAAACGATAGGTTTTTTCCCATACAAATCCTTATATTTTGAATGTTACGCAACAATGCCGATGCTCGCCGATGCTCATTTTTCGAGCTTGGGCTACCTGTGTTTGTCATTAGTAAAATCCAACTAGTGGTCTATTATCAATGCTGCGTTCTGATTGGTTGAGCTTTTACTAGCCTATATTTTATAGCCCACTACTAGCGAAAAGGGCGGGCTTTTTGGCGGCAAAAAAGATTAAAGTCTAGCTTTAACTAGCTAATTTTTTTTATTCTCGATATTTTTGACCAACTAGTTGGATTTTACTAAGACAATTAATCCTCTCGCCCTCGTGGGCTATTGACTCAGAGCCCATTCGGGCTCGAGGAATAATTGTTAATTATCAATTCACAATAATCAAAAAAGAATAAAGAATCAAAACAATTAGTGATATGCCGGGTGAGTCAATAAAGAGTCGCGTCGGTGAAGAATAGCCAACAGCATCTTGGAAATAAGGCCAATGTAACTTTGCGTAAAAATATCAACCTGGTTCCCAGTCTACTTTCTCACTTTCACACGATGTTATATTTTTGATGGTGTCACCTTTATAAGGAAGATTTTTAGCGTCTTTTAATTTACAATCTGCAATCTGTGGTCTGCAGTCTGCATTCTGCAGTCTGCAGTCTGCGGTCCGCAGTCTGCAGTCTGCAGTCTGCAAATGTCATACACCGGTCAGCCAGCGTCTTAAATTCGGGAGCGCATTCCTTTCGTTTTCTTGGGAGTCAAAAATTGCCTTGTTATCATAAACAAATGATATCTCAACTTGACCCATATGTTTACATTAGCCAGGCGGGTCCTGAAGGTCAGTAGAAAAGTTCTTTACAGCTGACAAAATAGCATGAAATTGAAACTTTCCACCTAATGTATGTGAAGCATCCGTGTATCACTCTGGCATTTGAGATTGCCTAAATTAAAGGTATTTTTCATATTTACCCTTAAAAAGAAGCCAAATCCATCACTACTTTACCTCATAGACACCATAAACTTTATGGTACTTGTTAATTTCCAAATAGCCTGTTCCAGGCGTTCAGATAGTGTGGAGCAGTGCGAAGTAAAGGAGCGCGAAAAAATAAAAGCGAGGGTGGAGGAGAGGTCCCGCTCTACTTTTCATCGCTTTCTTTACTTCGCACCGCTCTCCACTATCTGAACGCTTGGAACAGGCTAATTTCCAAATTTTTCAGACTGCAAAATATAGAAATTTTGATATTCAACGCTCATATTAAATGAAGCCAAATTCACTGCTATACCTAATAGACACAAGGGAAATAGTTGATATTTCTTAACTCCAGATTTGGAAGACTGTAAAATAAAGAAATTTTATATATGACTCACCCAGAAGCCCAAATCCATCTGGAATAATTATGTGAAGTGCACTGTTCAGCACTATCATGTAGACCGACGTACCGTATTTTCTTCTCCTGCTTGAGATTCTGCCAGACATTTCACATCGCTTTTTACTATTTTGAAGTGAAAACTGCCTTACCGGTAATTATCTGCAGGAATTTCCCAAAATAATTTTGATTTAGTCTTTGTTTACCCTCACCAAAAGATAAGATCAACTCAAAATAACACTAACCTGGGGTTGACGTGATCGAATCAAATTTCCATAACCGTCACGCAATACCTGGAGGCACCAATTTTTAAAAAAAAGTCAACATGAGAAAACATCAGAAAACATGAAATAAAAAATTGTTTGAAATGCTGCGTTTCGAAGAAAAGGTTAATTGCAGGTACTTCAACTATACTGAATACGTTGGTGAAACTTTTATTTCTAGGTTCCAGAGGCAAAATAGCTCAGGAATTAATTCACAAGCGCTATTTAACGCTAAGAGAACTTATTTTATAGACAGATGGGGTCATTCTTGATGCTGGACAGGAGGTGTTCTTGACCAGTTTTTACAATTGGTTGTTTTTATTTGTGTGGCAGAATTGGATCGATGTATAAGAGGTCCGCGAGAGGGAAGGACAGGGTAACACCGCGAGCGCCTTATGATCCCTATTTTCATACGCTTACGCGCCCTTTCCTTAAGGTGGCTCGACTGGAGTTTTTTGGGGGGATACCTCCCAAGTTTGGGCATTAAGTACGTCGCCATGAGTAAAGATATGGAAAAACGGTTTCCACAACTGTATCATATAAAGATGAAAAATTCTTATGATTTGGGTTTTATTGCAATCGGAGTCGCCATTGCAACGTAACGACGCCATTACGTTTTTATTTATCTTTGTGTTTCTCTGTATCAGGAGTTTTTTAAGAGATCGCTTAAGGGAGTTTGTACCTGCCATAATTGCCTCAATTATGGCAAAGTTTGAACAAATTCTATGAGGGCGTTTTCGAAATATTTTGAAACGAAGTTTTAAGCATCATAAAAACAGTGAAATAGTATCCTATCCACACAATTAGCTATTTTTTTAAGAAACTGATAAGCTTTGGAAACGCGGCTTCATCTCATAGTGGTTTCGTTCCATTGAAAACTGTGTACAAAAAGAGAGGGGAATTGCTCTGGGCGATGGCGAGTAAGAAGAATTTTATTAACTTGCATTCAGCTGCTTTGGTTACAGTTTTTGCACGTATTTTAGTCCACGAATACAAATTTCGCCTTTTTTCAAAAAAACACTGGATATATTTTTTTATAAATCTGAAAATCCCGAGATCAATCGTCAATAAATATACCCTGCAAGTTTCAAGAACATTGAAAACAGGGAAGGCTTTTAAATAGGGCCTCAAATATGACCAATTTTCCCCCCAGATTTTGTGTTTACAAGTGAGCGTCCTTATTATTCACTGGCATTGTTTTCAAGAATCATATGCCCGGGCACATTTAGCAAAAAAAAAAAATTGCATAAAAAATAACTCTCCATTACTTTCCGAAGAAATGTCCGGAATATGCTAATAATTGGCTAGTGTCACAGATAGCAGTGAGAGCCGAGACGGTGTACGTCACGGCTCATCTTGTAGGATGTAACACTTTTAAATTACCTTACTCGGGTTATAACATCACAGAAACTCTTACAAAGATTTACTATGATGCTAGAATATGTCACTAATTTCTTTACCCGGTTATTAGCATATTCCGGAGATTTAACTGAGGGTCCTTTTTGATGTAAATTCTATCTTTTTGCCGAATGTGCACGTGCATATGAAACTTGAAAACAATGCCAGTGAATAATGTGGACGCTCACTTGTAAACACAAAATCTGGGGGGGAAATTGGTTATATTTGACGGCCTATTTAAAAGCCTTCCGTGTTTTCATTGTCTTGAAACTCGCAGGGTATATTTATTGACAATTGATCTCGGGATTTTCCAATTTATAAAAAAATTTATCGAGCAGTTTTTTGGAAAATGCGAAATTTGTAGGCGTGGACCAAATTACGTGCAAAACCTGTAACAAAAGCAGCTGAATGCAAGTTAATAAAATTCTTCTTACTCACGATCGCCCAGAGCTATTCCCTTCTGTTTTTGTACGCAGTTTTCAATGAAATGAAACCACTATGAGATGAAGTCGCGTTTCCAAAGCTTATCGTTTTCTTTGAAAATTAGCTAATTGTGTGGATAGGATACTATTTCACTGTTTTTATGATGCTTAAAACTTCGTTTCAAAATATTTCGAAAACGCTCTCATAGAATTTGTTCAAACTTTGCAGTAACTGAGGCAATTATGATAGGTACAAACTCCCTTAAGCGATTTCTCAAAAAAATTCCTGGTGCAGAGAAACACAAAGATAAATAAAAAACCAAATGGCGTCGTTACGTTGCCATGGCGACTCCGATTGCAATAAAACCCAGATCATAAGAAGTTTTCATCCTTATATAATACAGTTGTGGAAACCTTTTTTCCATATCGTTACTCATGGGGACGTAATTAATGCTCAAACTTGGGAGGTATCCCCCCTAAAAAATCCAGTCGAGCTACCTTAATTGGATGTATTTTGGGTGAACACCAAGAAATTTTGTTTTTTGCCTAAGACACGTATTTTTTTTGTCTGTTTTTTTTTTCTCCAACGGGGATAACTGATGAACATGGGACTCATAGATCCCATGATGTCTCGAGATACCCTCACTATCCAATCCAGTCATAAAGATGGACACAAGCGGGGTCAGTGCTGTCTCCCAAAATGTGATCTTACGGAAACTAAGAGTAAAAACCTTTTAATACGTACAGAGAGCAAGTCAACACTTAAATAAAACTCACCGGTTCGTCCTTGCCGGAGCCAGGCGTCACTAGAAGACCAGAAAAATCAGATCAAAGTATACTGAACGCGAGGCTTGTTATACGGCAAAGAGCTAATTTATTAGAATCCAATAATTAGCCTTCCTCAGGTCCATCCAGACCTACGTTTAAAAAAAAATACTTTACTGGGTCTTACAGCAACTAAAATTATACGCTGTGAGCTAGGCCCGTAGTTGTTTTCTTTATCCGAGAAGATTTATAAAGGTTAACTCCTGGTCTAATCAATTGTCGCAGCAAAGGGTAGCAATGTCTTTCTGCAGTAGTTATTTTAAGACCGAGTATTTTGATCTGCCCGGGAATCGAACAGGGACTTACATCCGGGGGAATACTTCCTTATATAAGCCACATACACACTTTCCGTAAAATTCCGAAAATAAGCCCCAGGGATTATATTTTTCAAAGAACCTTTTTGAGGGGCTTATTTATGGAGGGGCCTATATTCGGAGGGAAATTTGTGTTTCAAAATCGATTGGGCTAGCCTTATAACTGAAGGGAAATTTACCGTTTTTGATTTGTTTTACTTTGTATTTGAG